GTCCCGTTGATAGACTTTTGTATAACAAAAACCAACAGATATTGTGAGATGACATGAATTCACTTCATTTTGTTTTGCTCGAAATCTTTGACGGCTGGTTTCGTGGTGGAGGTCAAAAATTAATCGATCACTATGGTAGTATCAACCAAATAAACTTTTTTCGCCTACATTGGGTTAGAAATACGAATTCCTACTTCTGTGTAATGTAGAAGTCTTCCACTATTCTTCTTATTTATCACTCGAAAAGTATTACCCGTATCCACTGAGTGACTCTTATTCATTAATTATCTTTTTATGGAGGTACTGCTGAGTAATTTGGAGGCATTCGTCACCATTTTTTTTCGATACAAGTAAATATATCACTACAACTAAGAGTAACTAGAGTAAGTCTGTTATATAAGTTAAACTTTCTCAGTAGGCTTGTTGTTTCATATGTGATAATTGAATTGGTTCCAAGAAAAGTTAGTTCAATGCTGGAGTTTAATCGGTGGTTATTGCGCTCGCTAAGACCATCCTCTTTTAAACAGAATTTTAACAAATACTTTTTTTGTGAGGACAATAAGATGTCATAGAATCGTAATTGTTCACTCAAAGTGATTATTGATAAACTTTGTGGATCAATCATGATACATAGTTTCTTTCAATGTGTAGTCTCTATTTATATTCATCATATATTTCGATTTCAAATTAATAAAAACCAATATCTTTTATTTTATTTCTCGATTAAGGTACATTTTCACAAAGGCTTCAATCATTAAATTTAAGTATTTCCTTTGAAGGAACACAAAATCCCACTGATCACATATTCAATTATCTACCAGCATGGCAACCTGACTCACCATCTTATGAAAATCATATTGATCGACTGAAAATTGATAATCACAATGAGGATGATGATGATGACGATGATTCAATTAACTTTGATGATTCACAATGTTCATATATTGTTGGACGTAATTGTGCTTCATGTAATCGTTTATTCACATTAATTTGGCGACGTCATCATTGTCGTCGTTGTGGTCATATATTCTGTTCAAAATGTTGTAATTATTGGCAATCTATTGAAGGATTAGCTAGTAGTAAACCTGTTCGTATATGTTCTGATTGTCATGATTTTTTAAGTCCACAGATTATTCAATAAATAATAATATTATCATTATTATTCAATTAAATCTCAGATCTTTTACTGTTTATGTCTTTCTAGATAAGTTTGTTCATAACTATTCTTATAATTATTTTCTTTTTATTCATATTCACACTCACACATATATACAAAGTGTCTTCTTATTACGTTAGTAGTGGGTTGTTTAATATTCATTTTGAAATACAATAAACATCGTTATAATACTTGTATTTATCCTATTTTGATTTGAATAAAAAGTAAATCCAGTTTTCATAGCAGCTATATACATTACTCAATTCACGGAAAATAATGGAAAAGTTAAATGTACATCGTCATTACTACTATTATTATTATTATCATCATCATTTTTATGATTTATTTATTCACTAGTTATTTATATTTAACTTTATTTTCAAAATATTTTCACATTTGTTTACTGCAAGTAACTATCTTACAAAATTGGTCTGTATTCACTTGTCGTGAATGATATTATGTACATAAAAATATATATATTTGACTTTGATAGAATTATTTGATCTTTTTTATCCAATTCACATAAAATCTAGTATAACTGGACACTAAAGCATAGTATGCACTGGACAAAATTATAATATTTGTATGCGGATTGGGATACCGACTGGACGAAATGAATGGTTTCCTTGAAGGGGGACGCTCCCATAACTTTTAACGTAAGAATTTCATATACTAGTCAACGGAGCAACATCAAGAAACAACGTTCCATGGTAATCGATAGTCAAAAATGCTTTAGGATTGAGGTTTTCGAAATCCCCTAGGTAAACCCTCCGTATCCACCAACTCAGTCGAGGCGGAGAGAGTTTGCTTTTCATCCTCTGACTTTTTTAAGCAACACCCTGAACGCGTAATATTAATGGAAGAGCTTGTTCCTATTTAATCCTAAACTAACTGGTGATTGAGTATTGATCGAAATATAAAGTGGGAATGCCTTGGTTACTAGTAATCGAGCTTGTTTAGACCAGACGGAATGTATACAGCAATACAATGCTTTCACTCAACAAGCTATTTAAAGTCTTATGGATTTAAGATATAGCGCGTTAAAGAATTTCGAGATGATAAATCTTCAGGTCGATACACTTGTAATGAGTATCTTGTAAAGATCATGTCGTTTTTCAGTAGTTGCTTAACTTATCTTCCCATACTTATTATATTTTATCCCATGCTACTTCATATTAATAAATAGTATTAACCTTAAATTGTAGGTATTCTTGTACTCTAGTTCATATTTTGATATTTATCAACTCAAAATTTATTCGAAAATCTCAATGGGTAACTTAATTTCAAAAATCATTTTTCTGATCTTAATGTGTAGCTCATTTCATTGAGTTAACTAATAGTTTATACATAGATCTAGCAGTACACTTTCTTAGATATTATCTAACAGATTTATTCAAAGTGGATGTGTATATAGGATCAATACAGATAAAAAGAGTTGCAGGGAAACAGAAAGATCACGTTCGTCTAAAAAAAAGACAATTTTGTAACCCCTTTTTTCAGATATACACCAGTCAGCTACAACGTAGAACCAGGCACATGTATGCATCGGTCCAAGTTGCCATACCTCATTAACACAACAAGATGAACACCGAATTCATAGAAGTAGTTAATTCAGTGGTGGTAATATATAAAAGAAAGATTGCATATATGGACATAGTACAGGAAGAAAGAATTAGTTCTTAGAAAGAAGGATATGAAGCGATTTTACTCTCATAGTTTAAAGGAAGACAGACAGTGTATACACCGACGCCATTGTGGTCGATTCTGAGCCATATCAACAAGTCTCCAACCTTTGGTTACGATAGTCGCGCGGATCCCAACCAAGTAGTCTGCATCTACCAGAAGTTAGTGACTTTATGTACTGATGCTACATTTTGGTTTGGCCGCCCCCAATTTTCTTCCAACCGCCTCTAACACTAGTCTGCATTGCGCGTCGTGGTAACCAGTGTTTAGGTATACGCAACACGTGTTCCAACCATCTCAGTTTATGAAGATTCACAGCCTCATCAACTGACTTACCATCATTCCCTAATACCCTGTGTTTAACCTCACTGTTGCTTACCTGGTGATCCTAGCAGATGCGAGCAATATTTCTAAGGCATCTGTGGTCAAATACTAGTAGCTTACGAGTATCCTCTACTCTTAACGGTCGCGTTTTTCAGCCGTAAACTAGAACAGAACGTCCCGTCCCTTAATTGATAGACGGATAACTCGCTTTCACCATAGGTGACGTAAGTTGGCAAAAGCCAAACGAGCTTTTCGGATCCGTGCACAGATTTCGTCAGACACCAACCCATTAGGGCTGATCAGACTTCCAAGATAAGTGAAGTTGTCAACGCGTTCGACTACTTCACTCCCCATCCTTAGTTCAGGTGTTGACGAAGGCCAGTCCTGGAGTGACAATTTGCATTTAGAAGGGGAGATACTCATCCCAAACATCTTGACATTGTTGCTCAGTGCTACCAAAAGATTGCATTTTATCAGCGTCTTCGCCAAACAGGACTATATCATCAGCGTATTCCAAGTCGATAAGTGAACCTCCTGGTAGGAGATCGATGCCCGGAAATTTGGTCGACGAGAACGTTACTTCTATCAATATGTCTATGATGAAGCTGAACAAAAGTGGAGAAGGTGGACAGTCTTGACGGACACCACTTGAGGTTGCAAAAGCAGATGACAGTTCGCCACAAGCCTTAACTAGACTAGTAGTGTTCGAGTAAAGAGCCTTCACAAGGTTTATGTACTTCTGAGGTACACCTTTCAATGACAGACACCGCCACAGAACCTCTCGTTCTACAGAGTCAAATGCTGCTTTCACGTCAAGAAAAACTATAATTGTCGCACACCGATAAGCGTGTTTGTGTTCTAGTACCTGACGAATGGTGCATGACCATGACCAGGTCTAAAGCCAACCTGATTTCACCGTGTTTGCAGTTCACGAGTCTTTGTTGGGCGCCCGATAATTATTGAGGCTAGTATTACAGACGTTATGTTAGTCAAACTAACCCCTCTATGGTTATCACAGGATGACTTTGACCCTTTCTTATATATTGGGACAATCAGTAATTGCAGCCAGTCAGATGAGGTTACATCCAACTCCCAGATTTAAGTTAAAATATTAGTCAACCTAATCGCTAAATCTGGACCACCATCCTTAAAATCCCCTGGGGTTAATTCATCTAGACCAGCTGCTCTTCCTCGTTTCAGATTTTTGAACATCAATTAGAGTCGGGGGACCTACTTCAATGTTCCATTCAGGCTGATTGGGAATGGTGGATAGTTGTAGAGTAGCTGAACTGCTCATTAGAGTGTTCTGCCTACCGCTCAAAACATCTGAGCTGAGAGCGGATACGAGTTTCGTCTTTTTCCGAGAATCTCACACTTGTCTTATAATTTCCAATTTCGTATATTAATCTGAAGAGCTGTCTTGTGCTACCTACAGTTACCGCCTTTTCCATCTCTTTTGCTTTCAATATCCACCACTGCTCACGGTCGTTTCTTAGACTTTTGGTTAACCTAGATCTGATTTGTTTTCGTTCTTCATTGTGTTCGGAGTCTGATGAGTTTACGAGAATCCACCAGTGCAATAGACTTAGAAGAAATTCACTGGTTTTTCGTAACCCTTTGGTTTAAGTCACCAATAGATGTCGCTGTTGTTTCCACAGTTGTTCGTTTATCTTTCCAAGCAACATCTGGGCAGCCTCGTTTTCAGAACTACCTAAGTGTGACCTCAGTTGTTCTTGGGATCTACTTTTGGCTTTAAAATATACATATACATACACGACGTGTTATTACTGTTCAACTGAAAATGATAATTTATGGGAGTGAAATTCAAAAAGCAGTATTCAGAACATTTTTTATTTTACGGTCACAAAAATAAAAATAGTTCAGTCACTGAGAGCTAAATCCAGTAAAAAAGCAAAACTTAACAATAATGATCAACTCTAAAACAATAGGAGGTGTATAAACAAGGATAACTATTTATAAATGACCTTTAATGCTTAGGGTTTTGTGCAAAAAAACATAATCTTGTTTGGTATCATAAAAAAGATAAATAGAAAAAGAGACTGAGATGATTTTTCTTAAAGTAATCAGGATTCACAAGCTGAAGAGGAAATTAAGAAAATGTGATGAAAGTGGATAGGATATACATTGTAGAAATCATCAGACGGAACCACAAGGCAAGGACTAACTTGGAATCCTGAAGAGAAAAAGGAAAATCAAGGGTCGCGATTGGAAGCAGACATCAAGAGAATGAATAGCGATCAGAAACAATTGGAAAGGTTTGCCCAGGACAGAGTTCAGTGGAGAATCCTGTTGGGCGACCTATGCTTTTTCAAGAGGGATGACGGACATAGATCAGAATTCAAGAACACTTTAACTTACACAATGTTATACATAGATAGAATTTACAAGAAAAATCTTAATGAAGCATTTGAAAAGCCAATTGTTCTATTTCACTATGTAATGCATTCAAATCAAGACATTGTAGAGCTGGTAATAATTTCGTATGAATTATAGATGCTACACATGACTATGAAAATTATGAAAATCAAAAAAAGAATAAAGTGAATTAAGATTATTCCATGTAAATTGTTATCAAACAGGGAAAAATAAAAATTATTAATTAACAAATCAGTGTGTTCATTCGACTTTTTACATGATAGGAATAGTGTCATTGTAATTCGTGCCAATGTGTATGTAATAGGATTCTTTTCAGACTATGATGTGAAAACATCTCTGACCATTAGCAATTTAATTTGACCACAGATGCCTTAGAAATATTGCTCGCATCTGCTGGGATCACCGGGTAAGTAATAGTGAGGTTAGACGCAGGGTATTAGGGAATGATGGTAAATCAGTTGATGAGGTTGTGAATCTTCATCGACTGAGATGGTTGGGCCACGTGCTATGTATGCCCGAACACCGATTACCACGACGTGCAATGCTAACCTGTGTTCGGGATGGTTGGAAGAAAGTTAGGGGAGGCCAAACCAAAACGTGGCATCAGTGCTTGAAGTCACTAACTTTTAGTCTGAGCCATGTTGGTAGATGCAGACTACTTGGTTGGGGTCCGCGTGACTATCGTAACCAATGGTTGGAGACTGGGTGACATGGCTCAGAATCGACCACAATGGCATCGGTATATACACTGTCTGTCTTCTCTTAAACTATGAGATTGAAATTGCTTTATATCTTTCTTTTTACCAACTAACTCTTTCTTCCTGTACTATATCCTTATATGCAATCTTTATTTTATTATTACCACCATTGAATTAACTGCTTCTACGAATTCGGTGTCCATCTTGTTGTGCTAATGAGGTATGACAACTTGGACCGATGGATATATGCGCCTTGTCCTAACGTTGTAACTGATTGACTGATTAGCAATTTAAAGCAAATCGACGGATATTCTATCGTGATAGGGGGGGTCAACAGCTACACAACTGGAGAAGTTTACTTAGAATAGAATAACTAGAAAACCAATGTAACACAATGGTAAACCGATGTACTTCAATGCTTTATTCTCCTTCTTATGAATACGTGTAGATTGCTAGAATTCAATCGATTACAGAGTTATTGCCCAACTAACAAGAAAGCCTAACAAAGTAGCAGCTGATTTCGTTAGGATAGATTTGCAACAAAATCTCACATTTGTCTCAGTTGTTAGTGACTGAAGTTAATAAGAAAAGGGTATATGGTATTAAGAATGTTAAATCCCTAGAAAACCATCGAGTTACTGTTCATTTCGTGAATACTAATACCTATTCTCTCGCATCAAATAGCTCCACAATATCTTCCCTTTATTGAAACCACGATTTAGATTCGAAAATATTATTTTCTGTATGGTCAATGGCTTTTTATGTACTGCAGTTTTCAAGGTTATTGTACGTATGTTGACATATTATGAATAAATTTTCAGTTAATATCTAATAATTCCTGAAAGATTTATTCTTCAGACTACCCAAGACTAGGAGAAAAGGGAAAATGGGTTTATTTATGTATCAAAACTAGGTATTATTGGCGTCAGTTCAAGAAAAATCAAAATGCCATATCGTGATAAACACACAAGAATTAACTGAATTAACATACTTTACAAAATTTTAAGAACAACAGTGATTAACATTCAAATAATGAAGATAAAGGAAAGACGGAAAACATCCGCAGCCTTTTAAAACTGGGGTTAGGAGTGAATCGACTAGGATTCCACCACCTTCCGTCAAACTACACCATACAAAAATCAACTTATTTATTTGTTGTATCTTGAGAAAAAAGCTGCTATGGGTTTCTTAAGGCTTGAAAATTCCTAACTGATATCACATACCATATTGTCGGTCAGACCATTGACCAATTTCACGAATTTACACACTGATCAATAAACTATAGCCAAGGCCCTAATGCTTATTTGTCCTCGAACCCCCTTACAAACTCAGTGATAAATAAGCAGATGCAAATAGCGAACAGATTAGTTTTTCGGTGCGCCCACTTCGTTATTCGATTTGTGTGAGGACTGGAACACTGTCTTGTCGCAAAAACCGAAGCAAGGGTCACTGTCCCAGCCTTTGACCTAGAGATCTAGTCGACAAGGAAGTGAAGCAACGTTAGAACATGCAGTCCCATGGTAGCCAGTTACCAACAATATGTCCATACTCCATTTTCTCCCTTAAGATCCTGGAGCCCATATGCACCGTTTGTTTGGAATCAAGGTTTTCCCCTACATGAATCCTCTGTATCCACTAACACGGTTAAAGCGTTGAACATTCGCTTTTCGTCTTCTGAATTTCGTAAACAACACTTTGGCAGTGAGTAGGACTTTCGTGATAGTGGTTGTATACACGTGACAATGTGAGAGGATTTCGAGAGATGACTCTCCCCACCTTTGGTCGTACCAGGGCATTTACTAATTATGTAATATAGATATAAATAATCATAATTGTAAAAAATAGCCGCAATAGTTTTTGACTTTCCTAATATTCATTTTGTCATAACATGAGTATTTTATGATCATATCTAATGTAAGATATGAAAAGTGTTTTAAAAAAAAGAAAATTCCAATGAAAACCTCACCTTTTGAACACTTTCACTCAGAGACTGTACAAGTTGACTTAGATTTTGACTATCTTGATCTATAATCATTTTTTGATACAATGTATTTTGAAGTATTGTACAGAAAAGAATAACCAACGCAACATTTTTAATTTTCTCATCTTGAATATTTTGACAAAAAGAATTACGATTGTTTGATTCAGTTAATAAAATACTACTATTACTACTACTACTATTTTTGGTAGATAATAAACATTGTGAAGAAGAATGACAACTGAGTAAATATAAAATACAATTAGAACAAACATTTAATTCATGAAGTAGAAATGGCCAATCCAAAAGTATAAGAGAATGATGAAATATTGGTTCAATACATGAGAAAAGTAAAGCTGTAGAAAAGAAACAATGTACGATAAAAATAAATAATTAGAACAGGTATATATCTATAGCATAAATTTTTTTAAAAGGAAAAGAATATGAATTTATGCAATTAGATATGAAGTTTTTCGATTATTGTACAAGTCTTTATCTACAATTACTCTAATTATGTGACTATCATCACCTTTGGATACTGTCCCAGTGTTGTAGAGCGTTCGCGCGCGAGACCGAAAATTCTGGGTTCAATCCCCGCCTGCAGAATTGTGGAAGCACACACATATATATACTAAGATGAAACGGTCATACATTTCATCTAGGTTTCCAATGGTGGTCTAACTTAGATCTGTTCATATTTTCAGCGAATTTCAACAATCTCCATAACCTCATACTGAAAACACTCGAAAAAAGCATTAATTCATAAATTAAAATAACCCAGTGTCATTGAATAAGAAAAAGAGAATTCAGTGAGGAAAATTTTCGTTTCGACGAAATCATTTACTTAAGCTGTACATTCGTATATAGTTAGTTACATGGAAAATATATGTCTATAGGATGATAGAAAAGATTGCATCATAAATTGATTCGAGAATAAATAACAAATGAGGTTACGTACTAATCAAGGGGTGAGGAGACTCTCTGTGTTCGATCATCGCTGTCTCCGAAGGATTGCTGACATTCAGTGGCAACACCATGTCAGTAATGCAGAGGTTTGGCATCGTGTGTTCGGGCACAGAGATGATAATTCAATTGGTGTTACCATCTTGAAACACCGACTTCGGTGGCTTGGACATGTACTCCGAATGTCGTCCCAGAGAATTCCACGTTGTGCATTATTTGCCGACTCTGGGACTGGTTGGAAGAAGCGGAGAGGTGGTCAGTGTATGACATGGTGTCGTGGTATGAAAGAAAACTGCAAAGGACTGGCTTCTGTTGGTCCTTCACGACTCCCTGGTTGGGGTCTGAGAGATGGTGCTACACAGTGGCTAGAGACGTTATCAGATATGGCTCAGAATAGAAGCCAGTGGCGATCCTGCTGTAACCTTCTTTTACTTTCTTCATAAAAAGTGGTAGTGTCTCCTTTACCTGAAAGATTTCTTCCGATTGTACCTTTTCGTTCCCTCGTTACTACCACACTACCTTACTCCAATCTCTTCGTCATTGTTCTCTTTTTCTTTTGCGCTCCTTAGTTTTTTTTTCCTACTTCTCTTCGAATTCTCATTGTTTTGTGTGGCGCATATATATTGGCGCTCTCTTGTACCAATATTCATGTGTTCAAATAAATAAATAAATAAATAAATAAATAAGGGGTGAGGAATAAAATAGTTTCTGGGTCAGATAATAGTCATTGGAACAGATTCTCTTGATCCTAGAGGATAAAGAGAGAAGTAAGTTCCTCTTTCTACTCAATGGGATCCGTGTATTGTCTATTCCAGGTAGGTTTTCTATATATAGATCTCTGTAAAAAAACCATCAGGCATTCTTTTTAAACGCACATCAGAAAATGAAGTTCATGGTTTGCCTCTGCTTCTAAGGTCAATTGAATTGACGGGTAACAATTATTGAAAATATTCAAGATTTCATTGAGGTTCATGTCTTCTTCACAAATAATGAAAGTATCATCACAACAGATGAGGAATTATCTCAGCTTCGACAAACTCTCATCAGAAATGGTTTCTGCCCAGATTTGCCGATAGCAACTTAACACCTAGACTTCATCATGAAAAAGCAACGACAGTACAGAAGAAAACTCTGTTTATGAATATGGAATTTAAAGGAGACACGGCTGCTGAAATCCTAAATAAACGGATTTCAAAATCGTTCAATAAAACATTCTACACAGCTAAGCTCCGAATTGTTTCCTCTAGCCAACCTACTATTCTGGGATATGTTAAGGATACACTTACGCTTTGGGCCACATCAATGTATATATATATAAATTTACTTGCTCATGTGGGGCACGTTATATAGGCCGCACAAAGCGATCACTGTCCAAACGCATCTCAGAACACTATCCGGCTTGGCTCTTAAAAGGAGAATGAAAAACAATTACTAGTTCGATACAGGAGTATTTAATTAACTGTGGACACATCGCTCCAAAGGACTCTTCTTTTAAAGTAATCTACAGAGTCGAAGGAACTGGATCGAAGGGGGGATCGAACCAATATTTCATGCATTGCTGAGGCATTGGCAATCCACGAACACAATTCTGAACTTTGCGTGAAGAAACGATTTGTCCAACTTCTCATCCCTCCTTGGCCCTAATTCCCTTAATGGATACGTTCCGGGCTTTTTTTCTGCACTTGTATTTGATTACCGAATTTTTTAAGTTACTGTTTTGCATTTTAAACACTAATTAGTTATGCTTATTACCTTATACAAGTTTTCTTGATTATTATTCAGTCTATTATTATAACCTTAATGTTTGTCGCTTTCCTTCATATCTGTCAATTGGACTATTATCTGACCCAGAAACTATTTTATTCCTCACCCCTTGATTAGTACGTAACCTCATTTGTTATTTATTCTCGAATCAATTTATGATGCAATCTTTTCTATCATCCTATAGACATATATTTTCCATGTAACTAACTATATACGAATGTACAGCTTAAGTAAATGATTTCGTCGAAACGAAAATTTTCCTCGCTGAATTCTCTTTTTCTAATTCATAAATTCCTCAAGTCCACTAATTAAGCACTTTTATAAAACGACATATCTGCTTACAATTAGAAATGAGACATAGTGTACCAGAAACAGGATTTTTCTAATTCTAATTAAATGTTAGAAATACGCTTACGAACAGGTTGTCATGTGTGTTGTGTTTGCAACTTGTTAAACTAATCTATCAAATAGTGCTTGCTTCTTTAAGCGTAATTCTTAGATTGAATTATAACAGTAATATTTTAAAGTTTATGTACCATTATAAAGATAAGTTTCCATAACACTGTTCATCATTACGTTGCCATGTACAACTATATATATATATATAACTCATGCTTAACACATATGTCAGTCAGTAACAACGTAGAACTTGGTACGTACGTACATCAGTTCGACTTGCCATACCACATTAGCACACAGATACAATTGTCGATTTAAATCCCGTAGTGGTAGAGGTAGTAAGAGTATAAGCAGTAATCGGAAATATTAGGGTTTGAAGATGTTATTCAAGGAGCATAATCCAGTGAAATAAATTTGGAAAGAGAAGAAAAATGGACATGAAGAATCCAGAAGATTAGAATTTGGGAGAACACATAAAAAACAAACTGTTTAAAACTCAAGAGATGGAACAGATTCACAACTGATATATCTAGAACTTGTGTTTCCTTCTAATTGAGACTTATCGGTTGGATGCACCTGAATAAGTGTTAGTAACAAATTGGCAATTGAAGCGAAAGGTACTGGGGGGTCGAGTCTTGGTGTGAACACTATCAATAAATTCAACCACATCCAAACGATGAGTAACAGATGTAAATAAACTAAGAAAAGCTTATGTCTAAATGTCAAAAGTGTGGAAATCCTCTTAATATCTACATATAAGAAAAGAGATTGACCACTTGAAGTCACTAATATCAACAACGGGAAAACATAAACCATCACGATTTTAATCCTAATTATCAGCCTGAAAAATACATACTGCGACAACCCCATACAGCTTAATACCACAAGTAACACATCGATAGGAAAATGCATTTCACCAAGTAACGACAATGAAATATTACTGGTTAGTGAATTTACAGCTAAATATCGCTACTTACTTGACAGTTTTTAAAGGTTATATTACCCTTAGTGTCCCAACCTAATAACGTTAACAATCACCAGCATTTTAATTCAACTATTACAAAAATCGATAAGGATGAGGTAGACATTGATAAAAATCTATGAATTCCCAAAGTCTGTTAATGTTCTACTAGATTACTACTTCTGAGCAAATATTCCGAAGTCAACCCCGATATCATCTCAGTTCAGGTGTACAAGAAATCAGAGTTAACATATTTGTATAAACAATTTTTGTTAAACTTTCATGGTTTATTCGTAATATTTGTAATACACAGTTATATTGATGATAATAATAATCTAATTATTAATTCTCAACTTACATTTTGCATAATTAAATTGAGGACAAGATTTCAATAGGTCATATGATGAAATAGGTTGATTTAGATCAAACAGTAAATTACTATCGTTGTTAATATTATTATGACAGGTAGAATCGAGTAATTTTAAAGGAAAACTATTCATATACAGAAGGCTACATCTATCCAAAATAGAGTTTTTCACAGAGTCACAATTATTTGCATCATTGTATTCAATCTGTGTTTGAATGCGATTGGCTAAATTCCAGAGATTAAAATGTTGTAAAGTTGGAATTAATTTTTCTGTGACTAATTTACGAATTAATTGCTTTGAATAAAATAAACAAACAGAATGAAAAATAATAATGATAATCAACAAATTCGAAGTAATTATATTTGTTTATCAGCAATATTCAATGATTATTTTTGAACGAACTCTTAACAATGTAACCGAAAATTATCAGTACTGGGTTGTAGAGATTAATAAGTTGAAGTTAGGCATTAATACCGTTGGATGCCGGCTAAGTGGTCTACAGGTTAAACGTTCGCGCGCGAGACCGAAGGTCCAAGGTTCGGATCAGAAGTGCAGGATCATGGATCCTCACTCGTATTGAAGAGTCCTATAGCAGGACTAAACGGCCATCCAGTGTTTCCAAGTTTTCAGTGGTGGTCCAACATTGATCAGTTCATGGTATTAATTAAAAGTAACCGAAAAATTGTAACCTTAAATTAGATAAGTGTTTAATGACTTGTCAACTCACTTAATAGACACAAATTAATGTATTTAACTTCGAATTATAGTTTAAAATACGAGGCCTAGTCATAGTCTACCTAGTTGTTTAATCTGAATGTATGACTTCGTATTAGGATATCGAACCTTATAACCACTGTGAGCACATATCACTTCATTAGTCATTATATGGGCATAAATAAACAAAACAAAATACAGACCAGTGTAAATGTGAATTTCATATTTTGTATGCTTGAATAAGCAATCAGTATAACTGATTTTCTTAAGTCGAATATCATGTGAAACTAACTACAAGTTAACCTATTATAACATCAAAAAAGAAACAGTTAAACTAAATCATGCCTCCCCCAAATGCTCAGGTACGGTCGACAGTGGAGTCAGTTCTCCCTCTCGAAATCCTCTCACATAGCCACGTGTATACAACCACTACCATGAAAGTCCTACTCGCTACCTTCTGGTGGTGGATGAGTTGTTTATGAAATTCAGAAAATGAAACGCGAATGTACGATGATTCAACCCGGGTTGGTGGATAGAAGGGATTCACCAAGAGGAGTTGGAAAACCCTGATTCCAAACAAATGGTGCACATGGGCTCCAGGATCCTGAGGGAACAGTCAGTCAGTCAGCTACGATGTAGGACCAGGCACATGTATGCATCGGTCCAAGTTGCCATACCTCATTAACACAACAAGATGAACACCGAATTCATAGAAGTAGTTAATTCAGTGGTGGTAATATATAAAAGAAAGATTGCATATATGGACATAGTACAGGAAGAAAGAATTAGTTCTTAGAAAGAAGGATATGAAGCGATTTTACTCTCATAGTTTAAAGGAAGACAGACAGTGTATACACCGACGCCATTGTGGTCGATTCTGAGCCATATCAACAAGTCTCCAACCTTTGGTTACGATAGTCGCGCGGATCCCAACCAAGTAGTCTGCATCTACCAGAAGTTAGTGACTTTATGTACTGATGCTACATTTTGGTTTGGCCGCCCCCAATTTTCTTCCAACCGCCTCTAACACTAGTCTGCATTGCGCGTCGTGGTAACCAGTGTTTAGGTATACGCAACACGTGTTCCAACCATCTCAGTTTATGAAGATTCACAGCCTCATCAACTGACTTACCATCATTCCCTAATACCCTGTGTTTAACCTCACTGTTGCTTACCTGGTGATCCTAGCAGATGTGAGCAATATTTCTAAGGCATCTGTGGTCAAATTAAATTGCTAATGGTCAGAGATGTTTTCACATCATAGTCTGAAAAGAATCCTATTACATACACATTGGCACGAATTACAATGACACTATTCCTATCATGTAAAAAGTCGAATGAACACACTGATTTGTTAATTAATAATTTTTATTTTTCCCTGTTTGATAACAATTTACATGGAATAATCTTAATTCACTTTATTCTTTTTTTGATTTTCATAATTTTCATAGTCATGTGTAACATCTAACAAAACCACCTGCTTTGGTTTGGGTGACAAAGCAGTGCCCCAGTCCTCACACAAACCAAATGACATAGTGTGATGCATATATATTTGGTGACTCCTTGTACCAATGTTTATGTGTTTGAACAAATAAAATCATGCAGAAACTAGTTAGATCAATTTTTCCGGCTAGATAATTAATTTTATAAGCATATAATACTAAATAATGCGAGATCTCTTCACATGAGTGTTTTACGATATTGATAATAAAGTTAGCTTTTATTAATATATATATAACAATTACTTCTACTATTACTCTACAGGTTTCCGTTAATTTATCGTACTGTATCGAACTCTCGAATTCCAGCAGAAATCCTATGATACTGGAAATTGAGAGCAGTTTTTAACCCAGTGCCAAATGATGAGTCTCAACTAAACATATCTATGAGGAATCAATTTACTTGACATAGTGAGGTATGAACGTAGTCGTTTACTTTAGTTCAGAGAGTACTCTCTACGGACTACCGTCTTGACCATCTTAACTCAACATGCTAACGTATTTTGAGAAGACGTAATGTAATCTACGAAGTCCCAGTTGATTGATTAGCTTGCATGGATTAGACAATTACGTTGAGCGACCTCTATTTTTAGTAACGAAACTCACTATAAAATACCACTCAATACTTATTTAGCTATCTTTATGATCGAACTATCCTCAATAGTCAAGCAAGGTTCAGAGCATAGAAAGGAAGAAATGACATATTTACTTACTACCAAGAAGTTAGACAGAGAGTCTAAACCAGCCGACCTGATGTGAATCGACCCCAGCCACTGCTATAGCAACTTTGTTCAAAGAGGAAGACAAATTACTAATAATTGTACCTTCGTTTCAGAGTCGAATCCGAATATGCTGAATGATTCATTTTCAGCTAATCAACGATCGTGTAAATTCACACAGAAATTCTCGTTTTCATTAATGTGAAATGTCATTTCGATGCATCGGAATAAATCGTGTTCTTAGATCAAGTCTTGTTTTCATTAGAGTTAAGTCGAGCAGTTAAGACGTGCTAAACAGAAAAATATATAACATAGATATCTTTCCACCTTAATTTTTAAAGAAATCTTTTTACTAGAAATGAATAAATTTATTCGAGTGAGATGTTAATTCCTTCATAAAGGTACATTCGCACGATTGTGAACCAAGTACATTATAATGGTTACTAATACAAGCTGTGAATTGGATACAAACAAAGGTTTCTAATATTTTCAACACTTTAAAGGCAGTTGAACAAATTTCGACAATACTTTTACACCACATCTCTTTGATTACATTATCTACTAGGGAGATAAAGTGACCAAATACACACGTTCGCATGCAGAAATATGAGCTACATAGACTGTGAATCTCATGCATATTAAGCTGTCCAAGATTAATTAGAGCATTTAATTACTGGTTCAATCCATAAGAATCAAGTACATAAGCCAGTAGTTTGCATTTTCACTGATCTCAATGTTTATTATATAATCAATCATAAAACTGACTGACTGATTGAATAATAAAACTTACAGCATTAAACTTAACAGTATCAAAATTCGCTGGATATGATCGTTTGAGAGGAGAACCACGATTTTCTAAATTTCGAATTATATTGATTGAGAAAAAGTGAAAGAGGCCACGACGACAATTCGATGCACACCATAGAAAATCTTCAAAATCTTTCATGCTTGAATCACTGTTTTTTAAGTGTGAATTATTACTGTTCATAAAAATACCAATAGGATTAATAGTATTACATCCTATCAATTCATTTAAAAGATTTTCCCAATTCATAACAGCAATTGGATGTGAGCATATAGTTGAAATAATGTTGAATATGATATCTGATAGATTTTTATTTTAAAAAAATGAAACAGAACTGAATAATAATAATAATAATAATAATAATAATAATAATAATAATAACGTATCGGTAGTTAAATCAACTGTTTTAGACTTGAATAGACTAATACTAATGTAAAAGGACAATGCTTGATTCGGTTCATGATTAGGTAATGCAAACTGAGTACTACATATTCTGTATATAGAAAATTATTATCGTCAAAAGTGACAACAGAGACCCTAATTCCCGAAACGTCCAGTGTTGTTGTCGGTAAAAAGAACGCCGGACCTGTTTTATGCTATTGGTCACTCGTCAACGACGTGTACCTGTAAAGTCTCAACATAGTCAACGTGATGTCGAGTTACTTAGACAAGTGGAGAAATTGCAGTTTGATCGATAGAATTCAATCAGCACTAAAAGATTTGAACATGATATTGGCTACTACTTAATGACCAATCAATTGTAAATATCTCAGTCATATAGGAGGCCTGCCGAAACACTAATAGCTTAGTGGTAACGTTTGAGATTACGTACCTGAGAGAAAGGGAATTGGACCAACTATGGAGAAAGTTACATCAATGTCACAGATATACCTTGCTGATGAGTAACAGCGGATAAGAAAGCTAGATCATTAGCTTCCTGTTGACTGCCTCTAACTACCTAACAGGTATACTATTTGATGAATATGGATTTTAGAAGTAAATTGTCGACAGTATAAGCTTACTAGGAGCATGGATAAAAACCAGACCTAGTGATTTGTAAAAGGTAGAGATAAGATTGAAGAAAAGTAAAGAGCAGAATAGGCTTTTTCTATAGTAAAATAACATACTTAAATACTAAATATTAGCAACGAAAATAGATATCCTTAGAAGCTAATTGAAATATAAACGATTAGAATATCCCAACTCCGTAGACCAGTCGAATGTTAATGAAACTAGGACTTGACCATAAATATTAAATATTTAGTCAAGTTTGAGTATTTACAAAGTGTAAGAATAACATGAAAACCCTTTAAAATCAACTTGGTAATTAGCACATCATCCTCTCTCTCCATTATTCGAAAAAACAGGTTTAGGTAGTTTCCCACTATCCATATTGTATATTAATTATCCCTCAGTGTTCCGAAAACAGCTAGTATAGATGTTACTGATTGAATGATTTTCATCTGGAACGTGAAAATGAAAGTTTACTATGTGACGATATATGACTACGCAAAATAACATTTAATCACTCCGAAAAAATGTAAGTATGACATTTACTTTCTAAAGAGCGGAGTGCAAAATAATCCTGATGAATAGCGGAAACCAGGACCTGCACATGCACTTGATAAATAGTCCTCAATAATCGATAAGTTTACATGTGTAGGTAATTATATAAATGTTAATGATTAAGTGACAGATGAGATCGATTCCTATATACTAAAAGCCATGACAATTTATTGTATTTTAAACTATCTTCGACGCTGTCGCGACAACGGCCCAGTTATAAAAAATCCAACGCACAATACTGCTATCCAAGCGGCTATTTTTTACACTTGAGAAACTGATATGTGGTGATGAGAGTAAGATACGATTGGTCACTGAGTGTGGTCAAACAGGTACTTAGCCTACGGACTATTAAATATGTGATTTCCTCTCCTGTTATTAATTTCCATTTCGGACTGACTGAATGTGACTGCCTGTAACTGTGTCATCTGGCTCTCTATTCTGTGTTGTGAATTCTGGATCTGATACAACGCGACCAGTCTCAGTACTGTATAACGTCTAATAATAACTTAGTACACCTGAGTTAACATAGTTCGAAAATCATGTGTCCAATCACAATTTTCTCTAAAGAATCGCCAATGTTCGACGACTATCATATAGATAATCGTAAGGCTAAGCTACAATTGTTCCAACATTTTTCTCATCACGATTCGACAAATGATATCATTCAGAAACACAAACTTTGAGCAGTTAGACACGTTCTAGATATATTGCCCCAACTCCCAAACTTAACACTATATACTGACTATGAGATAGTGAAAAGAGCAGAGGTAGTCAGTTTATATTATGACCTCACGAACCAAAGGATATTTGTCTTCAATCAGTATTTAGTCAATATATATACGTTAATAGCATGTTAATTAGTTGAATAATTACCATTTTCAGAAACTCCAAGCCCTTTTAAAAACATCTTCGAATGATCAACGTCTTTGGAGACCGATTGACAAGGGGTAGTTACGGTTAGTGGATTTTCTGTCTCCAAAACGATACTAGAACAAAAGGAAATTTTGCTTAGTGCACCAAAATCAGATTCATCGTTATTTTTATTTTTTAAGCTCTCGTATGTTTTGTCTAGCAAATCAAACAAGTGGCCGTAATCTTCTTTTAATATATTCAGAAAAGATCTGAATACTTTTTGGATTTCCGATCGACGTAGTAAACAAGCAATTAAACATCTTATTCCTGCTCTTCTGCCTTCTCTTTGGGAAGTCGATATAATTGATTCATAATCAGTAGGAGTGATTAATGGAGGAGTAGTAGCAGTAAGGTGATCAATAATATCCATACTATCCAAATCTGACACAAGAGCGGGTAAATTTCTCATTATTGCTAGTTCTTCACAGGATAACATCTTTAGAAAGCTAGAAAGAATGAAAAATGGTCAGCCAAAACGGGCTTATATACACGTCATTGAGAGAGCAAATGTTCATAAGAACAAATTAACGTGACCTAACATGTTATAAAAAATCCCAGGGTTGTTTATACATGAAAATATTGACTATTCGTTTTAAAATCTATGGAAAAGAACGCAAAAGACTGCAAAAAACACATGAAAATATACTTTTACTTCCTCCAGAGTATTTTATATCTAAGCTGTATTTGATACTCATTCATATAAACGTCGTGTAAATGTTAATGTGAACTTCAATGCACAATAAAGCCTCAGACCTAAAAAATCCTGATTCATAAACCAAAAATATTTTATATGACATGACAATTCTAAAAAACTCCCTTTCATAACCATGCGTTGACTAAGTGCTGAAAATGAGGAAACAAAACGATCATTTAGTCTAATTTTAAGAAGAGCAATCTTATTTACGTTTTAGACCAAAAGCAGCAAAAACTGTCTATTAAAATATAGCCTTCATTTAAGTGATCAGTCCCTTATAGTAATAAAAGCACTCAACTCTCAAGCATTAGGTCATCCGGTCGGAAAACTCGTCCATATATTTCGCTCTTGTTTAAAAAATGTAGGAAATCAATTTATTTATTGATACCATAGTTAAGTCAAAACTATATACACATCTTGTCAAATTAAAACTGTGGCTAACCATCAGTTGTCTATTCATTTCCCCTGTTGTTGACTTAAATCCGAGTTGAACCTATCTAAGTTAAGATTATACTAAACACCATACACGCATCTGAAAACAATCAAGAGACTAAACTCTGCCTTTCAAAAAAAATCGGTTAAGTGTTTGTTTCAAATTAAGTCTTTACATCTGCCGATACAAAAATAACATATTCGATCGAAAAACTTACCATCAAACTATCCAAATATAAACCCGATCAGTAGTTCACTATCTTCCATTGCCAGATTAGTGTTTAATTTAAAAATTATTTCACTTACAATACGTCAGAAACAATTAATGTTTACTGTAATATAATTGATAGTAAAAAAATTCACTGACATTTCTTACTCATAGCAGTTCAGTCTTATGATGTAAATTGTAAATATCCATTAAATTAATGGTTAGTTATTGTCAAGTTTTTCCCAGTTCAATATGTTTAAATTGAACTATTGATGAGTATGAGTAAAAAATATAAAACTCCGTGTACACTGAAAAGTTTCTGACCTATCTTGGGGGCATAGCAAATTTCCATCTACAGTTTTAGTATTTTTCATTTATGTCAAGCTATACCACTTTTATTCAGTTATAACAAGAATTAAAAAAATAAACAAGTTCAATCGTCTAGGTTAAGATAGCTGGACAATAATTCCACACATTTTATCGTAGATGTTTCAGACTACACCACCTCGTATGCCCGCTGTTGAGTTTGCAGTATAGGTACTTAGTACTTCTTGAGCGGGAGCTCACTTTCTGGGCATTTCTAACGTGGGCAGTTAGCCGGTAAACCATTGAACTACTATGGCAATTCAACTCTTAAAAACCTGTGATCACGGAAATCTGTTTTTCCAAAATTGCTTCCTCACGAGCAACTTTTAAGCTTTTATGAACTTGTTTCGCGAACTTCTTTCGTAGTAGTGCATGCCTCCGATAATTTGATTAAGAACAACTTCGAGTTTTGTTCCTGAATAATTAGTGACTGTTGCTGCTGCCAGTTCTTGAAGACGTCTAATAAAGGCAGCTGATATTTTGGCGAGCCTCTGAGAAACATTTGAGTTTCAGTATGCCTGGAACAAAAGGAACAGATCCAAACGTAGAATCTGAATCAAATAACGAAGCGGACTCTGGTACTACAGAACAAAAACAATGTGCAATAATATTGCCAACGCCTCTTTCCTCATATAAAAACGATTCGCTAGGACGCAATTTTTTAGGTGGTTGGATTTGTAATTTGGCTGACTGTTTGTTTTTTTGCACTGCAGTGTGGATGGACTTTCTATGTCTAGAAGCTCCAATCAACAGTTATGGCCTATACTAGGACGGATCGTTGCCCCTAGGTTTAGTGACGTGTTCATGATAGGGATCTACGGAGGGAATAGTAAGCCGGCAGAATTCAATGAGTTTTCTGCGGACACAATTTCTGAAATAAAAGAAATGACTGACGTGGGTCTTTTTAGTGTAAAGTTTAATAAATGTATAGCCATTAGGTTGGCGGCTGTTATATGTGACGCACCTGCTCGTTCTTCTGTTAGGTACACGGTAAATCACAACGGTAAGGCAGGTTGCGATAGGTGTACTGTACTTGGGAGACGGCTGGAGGGGAAAACGACCTTTCCAAATGGAGTACATACCTTAAGAACAGACGACACCTTCCGTCGTCAGTCTCAATCAGTTCACCATCAAGGACATTCTATTATGGAAACGCTTTCGATTGATATGATTTTAACTTTTCCTCTAGATCCTATGCACATGGTGTACCTCGGTGTTACCAAAAAACTAGCTAATTTATGGATAGATTTAGCACGCCGAAGACTGCGCGACTTTAACTCATGTGCAATTAGGGACATAAATAATTTAATAACGGGTTGTGTGGCAAGTACTCCTTCTGACTTTCCCCGTAAATGCCGTACACTAGACTTTGTATCGGCATGGAAAGCTTCTGAATGTAGGTTGTTTCTTCTGTATTTAGGCCCGGTGATTCTTGAAAAAACATTGCCACAACCTTTTTATCTTAATTTCCGGCGTTTAGCGTTATCCATTTATCTGCTTGCACATCCGAAATTACATAAAAATGTTGTAGAAACCGCCAAATTAGATTTACTAAACTTCCTAAATGAATACGCATGGTGTTATGGGTGTGAAAACTTAGTTTACAATGTGCATTCGTTACAGCACCTCCCTGACGACGTTCGTGCACATGGACCTTTAGATAGTTTTTCAGCCTTTCCATTCGAGTCTTATATGAGACAAATTAAGAATTCCGTGCGTGGTGGGTTTGCAGTAGCTAAGCAAGCAGCACAGCGTTATGCTGAGAGAATGTCCTTCAGGGATAGGCTTCAAATTAGTGGTTTAACAAATACTACCACAATAGGCGCTAATGATGTCTCCATTAAACAAGTAATTATGTTTAACAACAGCAGAATAAGTTCATATAAACCGGATAATGTAGTAGTAGTTAACGGCCAGCCCGGTTTAGTTACTGACATAAAGGAGGATGGACTACTAAAATTTAGGACTTTCATTGACCCACGCAATTACTTTGAAGATCCTTTCCCATCTAGTGATATTGGAATCTTTATGTGCTCCGTAGTTAGCCATGAATACACATGGGTTTCAGTTAAGGACATTGATTGTAAATGTATAGCCATCAATTGTACCAATTACATAGTTGTAATCCCATTGTTGCATACTTTATTGTAAATGCATTTCGTTTCATTGGTGTTTAATTAATGATGATAAACCATTTACTTACGTCTTATGTTCTTTTCAGCCCACTAACAAGAAATACGTTATTGTTGACGCCCTAAAAAAACAACTTATGATAGCATCAAAAAACTGGATAGTTGGCAATGACCTTTGCGCTTTTCCGAATGAGATGGTCGATATACACCTTCAGAAATGCGACCAACCTAATGACAATTGGTCACTTATGAAGTGTAAAGTTATTCATGAATTAGGTAAGCTACAATCATGGAAACTATAATTCACTATAGAATCTCTGCAGTCTGCAAAAGATCTGTTAGCTTCCCTGCAAATACTGCAATCTCACCTTGAAAACACTTCAACGGATGAAAACACTCTGCCACATAACACTGAGAAGCCCAAGAGGTCTGTACAATAATCTTACTAACATTTCCTAGAGGTGTAATGAAACGTAAAGAAGATTTTCTTTACAATTCAGTAGACATGGATGTGGCTGAGATGCAGGCTGGGAATAGCCGCGTACAATATCCCAAATTTCGTGTTTTCGACAAAGTGATATCTCCAATCGCCAAGTACGTTTAATTACTATTTAGATATTCACTATTTAGTTCAACACAATTAGAGACATCACCATCCACATCGGAATGTAAGCATGTTGGTGGCGCTGTATTGGACCAGTAAGTAACCTGCATCATCTAGTGACCTTTTTCACCTGTGATAGGTTGTATACTGTGGTGCTGAAGATTTCGTCAGCTATCAATGACTTGACTAAAACGATTAACAACATGTCGTCCGCCATTACGAACTTGAATGTTAATGTTAACCAATTGCTTTCAAAGTCTAATGAGCGCGAAAGACCGCATGAATTCGATTGCGGACTGTCAAGTCAGCAGTTCCCTTTGTCATCTGAAGAGGAACTACAGATGCTAGATACTGGTTTGTCGCAGAAAGAAACCAGGGACAGATTTGTAAGTCATTGACATGAATTTAATAATTTGTTACTATTACAGATGGCAATGGTCACTAGGTTATCAGGTGACGATCCAAAAACGTCCATGCGTCTTATTCTGTCGCATCTGCTGACACCGGAGGTTGCCAGTAAATTCACGTTACTTGGCACCTCTTCTAAACGAGCACTACATAAATGCACGTTTTACAGCTGCATACGAAGTAACCTATATCTATTACTTAAACTTCAGGTGCCTTAACTCATCGTTTTTTGTCATCCTCTGTAAATGAGAAAGACCTTGGTAAGCTATACGACATAGCGACACAAGGTTACTTTCACGACCTCCGAGACAAGATGATAAAACGAAATAGAAGAAAAGAAAATCAGGTAGGTACTAATTTAAAGTGATAACCTCCCTACGGCTCTATAGTTACAGTCAACAATAATGACGAACATAACCGTAAGTTCAGCTTCAAGTAATTGGTTGTGCAAAAGCATGTCATTGAGATATGGTTGTGACTTTTTTTTGTTTTTTTTTAAATTCAGAATTCACAGGACGACTACCCCAATTGTGATTAGTCCGTGCAATTGCTTTGATGTTGTACCTCGATTTCAATAAACATTATTCTTTCAAACAGCTTACTCTTTTACCTACATGGGAAACTGTTGAAGTGTTGAGAATGTGTGTTTGAGTTTCATTGAACTATTGATTAAATGCACATTTCTTATGAATACATTATAACCTGTTCGTTCTTTTTCAGATAATTTCAAATAACAATGTATTAGCAATTGCATTGGATATGCATAACAATCGATGCTTCAGCTTGTGCTCTACTGTTGTACAATAATACGCTTTTCTTTTTCAATAAAATTTTTGAAATATTTACCGCTTTTCCACTGCATTGCAGATATATTTTGGTCTGTTGTTGAAAATAAAGGCGAACATAGGAGACCTTTGGGGTTCTGTCGATGGATAGAAAATAGTAGGTAATGTGTGTATTTAGGCGAAAAGTAGACAATTAAGCGCATAAGTAGGCAATTCGGCGGATATTTAGGCGAAAACGCGAAAATTCAGCGGATATTTAGGCGGAAATGCGACAATTCAGCGGATATTTAGGCGAAAATGCGACAATTCAGCGGATATTTAGGCGAAAATGCGATAATTCAGCGGATATTTAGGCGAAAATGCGACAATTCAGCGGATATTTAGGCGAAAATGCGATAATTCAGCGGATATTTAGGCGATAAGTCCGTAATTTGTCGACAAAAAGGCGAAAAAGGGGAAAATCCGCATTATTTCCCCCGGACAGGCGAAAAAGGCGACATTCTGGCGCGTTTTCCCTTATATTTCCCCTTTCGCTACCATAGAATTTACCCCTTTATTTCCCCTTTTTGTGTTTTTTGGGTGATTTTATTTCACCAAGTTTTTTTCTATAGTACCAGAGTTCTTCGCCTCGATATTGGACTAGTATTTTACGTGTCTGTTTTTTTTGTTCTAGGCATATTGATACTTAAAAGTTTTCTTGCAGACTCTCCATTAATGTAATGAGCAACTCGATTAATTGGATGGAATTGACGCTGAAGTACATCCCGCAACGAGATGTGTATATTCTCAGCTCAATTAGCTTCTAACTAACTGTAGCCGCCCAATTAAACGCTTTGATACAACTAATCAATTAATCAATAATTTCAAACCAGAGGTTGTTTCTATCTTACCGTGTTGTTGTTACATCCCTTTATTTCGATAACACCGCCAGAGAAATCTCGGTAACTTGTACGTGTCTTGTAACGTCATTAATATCAATTTTTATGTCTTCTAAGACAGAAAGATATTTCGACGAATAACCACAGTTATCACAATTATGTTTGTTATAGTTTAAGAATTCTTCTTTTACATAACTCTTCGGTACCATTCATAAATGAAGGATTACCAAACGTACATTTGTTACTATTACTTGCAACGGATTTCCCAAGTTATTAAATATTTAGCTCAATTGGAAGGAGACAAAATAAGTGCAGCTCTGACCATATTATTTAAGAGCACTAACGTTAACATGCACATGTTCACTCATACATGCCTTATTAAATATTTCCTTTTGCATAACTCATCAATAGGATGCCTTTTATCACATATGTCAGAATTTTGCTTGTTCTTAGGACATAACTGCATCATGTGACCCGTACTATCCTCCCTTAGAAGCCTAGTTACTGGCTAGACAAAACTCTGGGTAACTGAGATAACTTAATTTGCTCATCATCACGAAAGTGTTAAAAACCCATGGCTATCTCGCTGATCAATATTATTTAAATAGCTAGTCAATTCACCAGAACTTCAGGACTTGAAAGAAGAAAAGATGTATTAGCTGATAACAGATGACGTTGAAAAAGGAAAAGAATAACTCATTTCCATGCTGAATACTTACTGACATAGACAATCCTATGGTTATGTGCATTTATTCAGAGCCAGTACTACTTACTTGCTTTTACGAGTACTCCAAAAATAAGATACGTATTGGACCTAATTGGTTACTTTCGTAGAATTTAAGACAACGCATGCCATTACTGGGCTTATTTATATTGCTAGATCGATAATTTTGCACTAATGTAGTTGAGTATGGATGATATAACTGCTTAACGTACATTCCTTCACAGCAAAACTGCATCATTGTCCATCTTGGCCTATCACAGGTATTGTGAGAACATTTATTTGTGTATGTATTTCTGAGAGTAGGAAAAACATTATGTATGCATGTGTGACATTTTGTTCCTCCTTAACTACTAAGTTTTTCGTCTCATACATTAATTTTATATGCATCATATTTCGTTTTTAACACAGGATAAAGTTGATTCTCATATCTACTTACGACTGCATTTCTCCACTTGTACAACTTCTGTCTTTGTATTCCATGGCGATAGCTACTTCCATTTAATGATTCTTTTTCACCAAAGTTCTCTGAACCTCGAATCCATTCCTTTGAAATGACTGATTTGGGTCATCCTTTTTCTTGTTTCAATATAGATCAGTTTGAAGAAATTGCAGACGGAATATCATCAAGAATTTTTTTCTGGAAATACAGTATATATGGAATATATGGAAACGCCTAGAAGACCTAATTGCAATTCTAGTTCTGTTGCCAACAGGAAAAACAAAAGTTTGTGTAACACGACTGTAATTACTACTTCAATGAAAGTTGATTAATGGGTACAAGCGAGAATAAGAAATAACTCAGTGTTGCTAAAAGGAAACCAGTCCACCAAGAAGTAGCCGAAAAATTAAAGGCTGATCATAGTGACAGGTCAGTTATCTTTCATAAATTTAAGGAGAGCAAAGGCTCAGAAACCAAAACTCCTTTCAAGAATGAAGTGAACTTGATAAAAGAGCTACTGACCGGCTAATGCGTCAGGATATCTATAGTAGTACCTAAACCTCCCAATGGAAGAGACGACACTACACAGTCAACATTAGCTAAAGGGGTTAACGGTCATTGTCTGTAAATACTTGCCGCTCGCAGACGGTGTAAAAAGGTGAGAAGTCAAAAAGTACTAAAACTAAGATTAGGTGCTGGCGGGAAGGATCTTAAAATTGCAAATTTCCAGGTGGTGAGGCTATGACGGAGAATGATGCTGAAGCCACTCTACATGAGGTATAGAGCCATTTAAATAGCCTTCGGATCTGTTACACAAAAGCCCGGAGCTTGCTCGATAAGCGATCAAAGCTAAGTGTATAAATAGACTTTACTAAGCCGGATGTAATCGCAGCAAGAGAAACATGTCTGGCTCAGTTGGCAAACAGTAGAGAATTGATTTTGAAGGTTTCTTATCATTAAGAGCCGACAGAATACAAAAGCGTAAAGGAGGAGTAGCTCTTTTCTTTAGTAATACTATCCCACTTACCGTTATCGATAACATATCCTATGAATATGGAACGTGCTAATTAGTTATTTGCCACTTGAAATGCAAAAGATGAAGGCTGCCAATTGGTTTGGTTCACCTAGGCCTAAACTGTGAGGTGAATGAGTTCTTGCTAGATGGTTTCAACAGTTGATCTTCCAGTGGTCGATGTTAAACTTAGGGGACTTTAGTGCATCTACGGTACAACGGAAAAATCTGAGAATTAAGTTTTCAGAAAATTCACGAGTCATAGAGCAACGTGTGAAAGAAGCAACTAAGTACAAACTGGACTCCAAACCATCCATAATAGATCTCATATTGACCGATAATAAAGGGGGGCCACAAACCTCCATCATATGTCATCCCTGGTTGAGTGACCATAAAGTACAAGTTTTTGGTTTCCATATCGTTGTCAACAAAGATGTGTCAGCCCAAGATGGACCAAACATCTGGAAAACAGATATATAAGATACTATGCACTCATCCTCAGTAGACTGGTCAATAGACCCAAAGTCCTCTCATGCAATGTCTTGGGACGTATTCAGGAATTTATATATAAAAGTTACGGCATTTCACATCCCTTCGACTGCACCAAGCGGCTGGAGAAAATCCTCGCCGTGGTTCAGCAAGGTGGTTTACACCCTATTCCGTAAGAATTCGGGAGAGATCTAGGTTACTGGGTACTGATGAGTCAAAATCTCGATATCGGGTAGCTCGGGATATTTGTGTCTTGATCTTCCACAAATCTAGGGGGTTGTACAAAAAATTTGCTGAGGAATCTCTAGAATACCTTGAACGCTTATACTTGTACATAAATCAAAGGACTAATAGAAGAGGATATATTCCAGTACTATGGGGAGACAGTAATACTTCATCATCGGTGGAGGATGACACTGGTAAAGCTCAGGTACCCTCAAACTCCCTTAACAATGTATATACCGTACAAATGCTCTTCTCTTCAGTTCATACGAACTCCTACACACACTCGATACAGTGACCACTAAAGAACTCTATGTCTTTGGCCTGATAAATAAGCTTGATATAGTCGAGTCCATGGGACCGATATAATACATCCCAGGTTACTAAAGGAACTAGAGAATTTCGTTGCAAACCCCATATGCATATTTTTTTTAGCCTATCTGTAACCCAGGGACGATTACCAAATTACTAGAAGAACATCATAGAAAGTCCTGTCTTCGAACAGGTTCAGGACAAAAACCTGAGAACTATCGACCCGTAAGCCTAACCAGTGCGATTGTCAAAACTTTAGAAATAATCGTTCAAAGGAAATTGTTTAGGAATTATAGATTTTTAGAGAGCACCCCATGATTGTTCACAAGCTTATAATAGATCACTCGTCAACTGATTACAGACATTCTCATAGAAGCGTCAGCGAATGGAATTCATTATATCAATACGTGATCGAAGCTCCACCTTTCAGAAGAAAATCCGATCGACTGACAGACCAGCATTGACAAGACTAAAACAAGTCACCTAACTAACTGTCATACCCAAACTGAAACTGAAAAAGATTCAATGAAAACGCTCTGTCTTGGATAATTTCCCTTTCTATGAACAAAATTCATAACCAGTGTCGAAACCCAAAAATGAGACGAAGAGTGCTTTGTCGTCATAAGAAAAATTTAGGACTGTCTAGACGTAGTGGAAAACTAGAAAATTACTAATATCGACCTATCCCTATAAAATCATGATTTCATTTTTAAATATAAGGCCTATTTGTTATAGCTCACTTTTAAATAATGAAAAACGGTATTTTTTCGAACCAACTTTGTTGAGTGAAATTTGTGTTTTTACCCATTAAATAACACAGCCAAGGTCGTCAGAAGGTTAAGTCACTCATAAAATGTCTAGATCTCCTGGTCCCATATTGGTATACGATCGTAAGCTATAGAGTATTCATCTTTATATTTTATCTAGGAAAGAAAAGGAAATGCACACTGCAGGAAGACGATGAAACTGGTAGAAACCTTTTGCGTTTGTTGGAAATATTACGTACATATAAACCTGATCTGGCTTCTGAACTGTTGCTCTCACTGGTAAATCATTTTCATTGAAAAACATTAGTATAAGAGTTCATTTCCAAGGTTTCAAATACACTTAATACTTTAACATCCTTAGGTTCTTAAGCTGTGTCCAAAATCAATATCTTCTCGACAATTTCGACCCACTTGTATTTATCGGAGATGGTGGTTTTGGAACCGTTTACAAGGTATACCACCCCCATATTTTCATCAAACATTGTTGTAGACAAGACACATAATTGACGGAAAAGCCTACGCAATCAAAAAGATTTCCGGGTCACGTTCGCGAGATACTCTTGTAAGTTTGGTCGTGTTCTTTGTGATTTCCACTCTCACCTGTCGGTCAAAACATTCTTCGACCAAGGTAAAACCAATAGAGCGAAATGTGTTTTCATGTTTATACGCTTGATTTATACGACACTATGCCAATTTTGACATGGTCTGTCTAAACGGGACATCACCTACCAGTTGTCTAGTAGTTTATTTATGTAAAATTGTAAAAGAAACAATAAGCTGTTCTTATTTCAACCCTGATATAGTATCTGCATTCATATTTATTTTTTGGAGATCACCAAAGTGATTTTATGGGTTACAAACTAATTAACAGACACCTGTCGCCCGTCTGACTTACTCAGGTCTACCTCATGCATACTTTTGTCAATTTCTCCGCAGAGGATGAAAATTTTATACAAACGACAAGCTGATACGTTTTGAGCACATAAGTTGGAGGTATAAAAATTCTAAGCTTTTTACTTCTAACCATCGAAATGTTAGTAACCTGGTTTGTTTTCCCAGCCAGTCAGCCATACTCAGCATAGAACATGGTCTGTTTATGCATCTATCTCATTAGCACAGTGAAACTATATCGTCAAAGTAAGTCCCAATATAGTAGATATAGTAACAGTATCAGTAGTAATGGAAAAGTTTGGACATCTAAGATGCAATGCGCGAAAGTACAAGTTGGCGAAATAAGAAGTATTTTGATGAATTTAGAAACTTAGAATCTGGGCGAAGACAAAGAGTGGATGTACCTACGTCATTGTAAACGATTTTGAGGCATCATTCAAAGTCTCTAACCATTTGTTACGATAATCACGCGGGCCCCAACCAGGTAATCTACACCCATTAAAATTTCTCATCCTAATTGTCAGGGAATTCATGGACTGATGACACATACTGGTTTGTCCATTCCTAGCTTTCTTCCAGCCTAGGCTAGGCGGCGTATGGGCATACGTAACATATACCCCGATCACTTCAGTTGATAAAGACGTACTACCTCATGTATCGGTTTGCCATCTTTACTTAGTATTCTATCCCTAACTCCAGCATTGCTTACTCGGTGATTCCAAAATACATGAAAAGTACTTCGAAGACACCTATGAGCGAAGAAATTTGTGACGCTGATGTCTTTTCTTTGGCCAGATGTGACTCAGCAAACGACTTTACTAAGTTTTTCAAATCCTGTGTTTGTTTGTCTTCCATTATCTCCCACTGTTTATATATGTTACTGTCTGACTGTTTACATACTTCGTACGGTGATTTTAATAATTTTTGATGGTCATTATTTTCATTTTTATTTACCTAAGTCCGATCTTATTTCTATATTGAAGTTTTATCATTATTATCACTACTAGTGTATCTATTTTCTTACAATTAATCTGTACCTTTTGCTTATTGTGATTACTGACTCATAAATTGCCTTGATTGGTTCAACATTTTCATATATCCATATAAATATTTCTGCATATCAGAGTGAAGCTTGATGAATATCTAATTGAAACAATATTTTGTTATATTATTTATTTATTTAAGCACAAATATTGGTACGAAGAGGCACCGAATACATATGCGCCACACAAGTCACTTGATTTGTATGTGGGCTGCGATACTGCCCGGATGCCCAGACCAAAGCAAGTGGTTTTCTTAAGGGGCCACTCCCGGAGCCCTCGACCTAAAGGTCTGATCCACAAGGTAGCGGAGCAACGTCAGGAGATGCAGTCCCATGGTAGCCGGTGACCAGTAATTGGTTTAGGATCCTGGAGCCCATGTGCACCATTGGTTTGGAGTCAAAGTTTACCAACTCCCCTAGGTAGATCCTCAATATTCACCAACCCCGTTAAAGCACCGGACATTCGCTTCTCGTCCTCTGAATTTCGTAAACAACACTCCAGCCGCGAGAAGGCAGTAAGTAGGGCTTTCGTGGTAATAGCTGTATACACGTGGCTATGTGAGAGGATTTCGAGAGGGAGTGCTGATTCATCCCACCCTCGGCCGCACCAGGGCATTTGGAGGCATGTTATATATATCTGTTTACCTCAGTAGCTGTATGTTTTTATATCCTCGATTTTGTTCGTTTTGTTGTTGGGCTATCTATAAGTGGTAACTCGAACTATGAGAATTGTGTGCAGTTTCAAACTTTTTTCTTTCGACCGATCAATATTCTAAATGTTTTGCTTACCTGAAAATTCGCACTCACCATATTACTCACTTATTTTTGCTCAGTGTTTCGTTGAATTTTAGTGATGTTTGTAAAATCTTATCACAGTTACGTTCACACTTTCCTTTCTCCTAGCCTTCGAACATCGTCGTATTCAGTAAATTTCATTTGTGGATTTCACTTATTTCCTATCCTTTTTTCTCATTGCCATTGGTATCGTTGTTTTCACTTCTCGGTTGCTCTTTCCAGTGATATATTACGTTTGTGCTAATTCAAAATATCAATGTTTTGAATCATTCACATTTGTACAAGATTCTACGTTATTCATGTTTGCCATTGAAAAAGTCCTACTTTATTAGTTTTGTAGCCACATGAAATTTATTGAAATGTGCAAAAATTTATAGCTCACTAATTTGAAATAAACTATTGGTTATGGTACCAGGCGATAAAACAGTTTGGTCAAAATATTCAGGTAATGATAAACGTATGTCAGAATCTCATCCATCTCTCCCATTTTCAACATGCGTTTCGTTTGTGCAACCATCTTTCATCAAAACGTATGTCATAACAAAATATTATGGAAAATACGTTGATTTTTTGTTTCGAAACCTGTTTAATCATAAATGTGTTACAACGAAAGATAAAAATGATATCCAACTAATGTCACTTTTTATTTTCTTTTCTACTTACTAGGAGCTTGCTAGGTCTGAAGTGTATACAATGTCGCGACTTAATCATGTAAACATAGTCAGATATATTACGTCTTGGCTAGATTACGAATGGATATCTGTTGAAAGCAATAGTGAGGTGAGCATTTCATGGTTATCGTTTTGTAATCATGCCTTTTTATATTTTACGTTGCACATACTTTATGGATGATTGCTGTTTTATGGTGTACATATAAGTGAGTTTGTCGTTTTTTATTTGTGGTGATTCTTTAAGTTGGGTTACCACCGATTTTCTTAAAAGCCAACTCCATACGGAAGTATGAAGTATTGCTGATTGACTGAATTACCAGCGTACAATCGTTGTTTCATTAACAGTTGTCATACCCAGTGAAAAACAATCAGAAAATAGTTTAAGAAGAAAAACAAAGCATATAATCAGTCAATATTTAGCAATTTTAAGTAGATATCCACTAAGTTGGGACTCCACGCTAAGGATAATTGTCGAAAATAACAGTAAAGATTCAAAAATGGAGGATTTAAGCCTTAAAAGTATAAAACCACTCAAATGGGAGCGATCGATTCGCTGCTAAAATATGTTTCACGAACCAACCTTAGTTAGTCGGTATAAACGTGCAAGAAATATTTTTGAAATTAGTTGATAAATGCCGACAACTACCGATCTGAAATGTATTCTAGTTTAGTAATTAGTCGATAATCATTTAGTTTGTTCTATATCTATACTCAGTTTATTGAATACAAACCTTACTCTAAACCCAATCTGAAACGCTGTCACCATTTTGTTCATTTGAAGAAAATGAACGTTACATACTCTATTTTTCATTTTTGAACAAAATAAGTGTGAACCAGTCGTGTATTTTAAATTACTATGTATGTCAAGTACCCATGTGTTCTCACGTAGTGGTTCTGGATATAAGTACATTTTTAATATAGCCATAGCAAACAAGATAATCACACGCGATTCATTGTGAAAAATTGTTTACAAAAGTCATTTCCAAAGGTGTAGGAAGCTGAGTAGCGATTTAAATATTAGTGAGTGTTAATGAAGACTATTGTACTTTACGATTTCTGAGTAATGTTACTTAATTACCTTAGTTTACTTCACTTTACTTACGTCTGTTGCCCTTCGCGAAATATAGACCGGTAATCGCTAGTCTCCGATCGATGTCGTCTTCGACTCTTCTTTCTTTTGATGTGTGCCTCCAATTTCCAGCACAATATGTTCTTTAGTTCTTTAGTTTGCCTCTTTTCCTTCTGCCGGGAGGTTTCCAAGTCAAGGCTTGTCTTGTGATCCAGTTCGATGATTTCCTCAATATGTGTCCTATCCACCTCCAGCGTCTTTTCCATTTTGGAGTAAAGCTCAAACATATTTTGATACACGAACATGCAGTTTACTTATATGCCATCCCTTCATATGTTATATACTTTCGCTAAATCTCTTGGTTGAAGATTTCCTGTATTATTTTAAAATAGAAGAACTTTGCTGCTTAGCAACATCCAGAAGCTATATAAGGAATCCAAATTTATTTCATCGTTTCTCATGACAAAAAATCACTTTCAAGAGGTAGTTAATCTCTTGTTTAATTCTATACTTTCATATGTCCTTTATTCCCTTACTTACTATATCCTTTTTGATACTTTACACACACAAATTTAACAGTGCTTTAAAAACTACATTGATTTAACTACATCTTTGTATTAGGATTGTGATTGTCTCAATTGAACAGTATTAGGAAGCCTTTCATTGACATCTATGAATGATTTTAATACAAAACAATCAAAATATGAAAAAACGTGACATTGGAGTACAAATAACTGATATAAGCATGTAGAAAATCTACTAAATATATTCGAATATTCCATTTATTCTGCCTTATGGAAAATAGCTAAACAATGCGGTTTCTGTGCCGTTTGTTCGTCTAATATAGTTTAACAGGCCTAAGTTGTATGCTTGTTCCCTGTATAAATTGTATTCAATAATTTTCTACGAATAGTTGGACTTGTTCCTCTCCTTTTACTATTTGTAGGTTGAAAGGTATTGACGTATTTATAATTCGAAACTCTTAAACAGTGTCCTTTTCCTAACCTTAACCTAGAAAATGATAAACAACTTCATAACATTTATAAACGTCCATAGTATTTTGTTTTGAAATCCTATTTAGAACCCTGAGTAAAGACACCGAAATATGATTGAAGTATTACTAGAATCTGACTTCTCATGATTGGTTGTGGTATACATTCTTTACAACTCTCCTTCAAGAAATAATTTTTTTAAAGTCCTCACCAACTTCATACTTTCTATTATCTGATGACACCAACTCAAATGAGAAAATAAGCAGCTATTGTTAAAAGAAAGTGAAATCTGCTACATAAATCATATACTTAGAGTCCCTCATACTTCTTATCATCACAGACAAATTTTATGAAAAAATCTATACCTTGTATACACCATTTGGTTGATTCTAAGCAAACTGTCATCCTAAACTGTGGTCTAGTCATCTTTTTCATTTAGGAAATAACCATAACCATCAAGCCACTAGTGACACTACTCATTTTAATGTAACGTAAGATCATTCTTACTATACTATAAAGACATAGACATAAACATTAATTAAACTTAAAGTGAATGTTAGATGTACTCTTGTTACACTGAGCATTCAACTTAGCTAATCAGTGTATAACAGCTCATTTGAATCGAATCTGAACCTGAGGTATGCTGATTACAGAAAAAACTCAGATTCATTGTGACTTATTATGCCAATAATCTGCGACTCTCTTTGAAAGCATATAATGCATCGAACGATCAGTCACATTCTGATCTGTAGTAAGACTTCTAAATCCCTATTTCTCTATCTTCAGGTATCCAACTGTAATCTCACTTCTACACGTACTAAGTAAGTATTGTGTTTTCGTATCAGATTTTTATTTAAAGTCAAAACTACAAATAAAGCCAATATTTTTTGTATTGGTTACTACTAAAGTATCTTATACATTTATTCTTTTGGTATGTTGAAGTATAAACTTTCAGTCAAATCTTGTCGATAAATCTAAGTTCTACTAGCAAAAATTGATCACCGGAACTGAGATTTACAAAGGATAATTTCAGTCATGATCAACGAAATGTTTAACACAGATGTCCCGTAGTCCAAGTTGCCACACCACACTAACACGACGAGATAGAATTAAGATGAATAGCAAAGGAGTCAAAATAATGTGGAATCAACAATATAAAGAAAGGTTAAATATTGAAAATAGGGTTCAAAAAAGCACGATGAAAATGTATGTACGAAGGATTGCTAGTGCTTCAAGTTTATGGAGAGATCAAGAGTGAATATGTAAGCATATTTGTAATCGAATCCGAGTTATGTCACCGAACGTCTCCAACTACTAATCGCGATAGTCTTGCTAACCCCAACTAGATAGTTTACATCGACATACATGACTCAAACCAACAATTAATGACTTCATCGACTAATCTTACCTCTTGGCTTGGCTGTTTCTATCCCAACCTACTCCTGCACCAACCATCATAGTGCGTCGAGGTTGGCAGTCGTCAATCATGCTTAGCACCACACTAGACTAAGATCCATAACCTCATTGAAAGATCTGTTATCTTTATCTACTACCCTTCAACTAACCTTTAGCACTGCTCATACTACGGTCGCAGAATACACGAACAATACTTAAAAGACACCTATGACCAATACCCTGCAGCCTACGCATGTCTCCTACTTTTAAAGACCATGTCTCATAAGCATAGAGCAATACAAAGCGGACTGCTGAACAGTGTACTCGCTTCTTGGTTGAGAGACTGACATCTCTCCTACTCTACGACTGACACAAATTTGTCTTTGCGATACTATTTAAAGATATTATGAAAATTTGGGACCGTATAAACCATTGAGAGATCTAGTGTTAACACATAAACTAGTGCGTTTAAAGAGTTTAAGAATACCTCAGGGATTCTGTACACTTATAAATCAACTGTATAACTATTAAGGAAAAAAATGTATTTGTAAAATCTCAGCGTATGAATTTGAAATAAATTCAACGTTGGCTTTACTTCAAATTCATACGCTGAGATCTTACAAATACATTCTTTCTCTTTAATGTCTCACATCAACTAGGCGCCCAAATTTTGTGAAACTATTCCATCAAATTTAGACGAAAGTTTTTATAAACTGCATAAATAGTTAATTTTTATGTGAAACAAAATATAAATATTGTAAATATATTGGAAGTAAAACTTCACTTTGAAATATATTACTTCAGCGCTTGTAATTCTAATGAATATCTTTAAGACCTAACCGTCACTTGTTGAGAATGTTGTATATATCTTTGTGTTCGATCGCCACTGTTTGTTATGAATGGGTGAATAGATGAAATGAGGACGTTTGAAATATACACTCAGGTGTATCAGCATATATATCTCTAGCGTGTGTTTATCAAACAATTGGTTTATAGCATTTTAATATGGTTTTAATTGGAAACTTTTATTTGCCCCACTAACTTTCGTCATACCTTTTCCGTTCATGAATCTTGCAATGAAACCGACGACTCGCGTTTATTCCTGTTTGAAATTCGTCAGCTAAATGCATCTGTATTCGGGTATGAGTAACGCATATAGAACAACAGGTACTGGGGTTCCAGTCTGAGTGTGAACATCACCACTGGGGTAGTTTTTCAGCCTGGATGATTCCCAGTTAGGATGAAACGCGCATTCTAAATTCCACTGTTAGCCACAAATCAAACGTAAACTATAACTATTAAACAGAGGTAGAATAAGGCAAAGAATAAATGGTTTATTAACAATATACTTTATAAATAATGAACATGAATACATAACTCTTATCTTATCCACTTATCTATTCATTATATATCAGTACCTTTCTTTTTTTGATTTTTACATAGTAATTATTTAACTCATCCATCAAACATTATGAATATAAAGCATGTTAAGTCTAGAAACAATCATACTTCTGTTAAATCTTCATTTAACACTCTTCTTACGCCTAATGAATTCAATGATTCTTGGGAAATTAATGAAAATCCAGAAACTAATGGCTTATCACTACCAGATGGAAGACGAAAGAAAAAACGTAGAAATAATCTGAAAATTGACACTTCATCAGATATCAAAGCATTGATTCCTAGTAAAGAATTAATTCCTGTCAATCATTGTGTAAGTTTTTTTTTTAAAAAGGGTATGGTTGTAATTTATTGTCCCAATGACCGTGCTTGTGATTAGCTGTCTTTGTAGGTTTTATTGACTGTATTTACCTTTGCATCCACGTGTTTTATTTCTCACTTTTCTATGTACATCAGTCAGTCAGTCAGTAACAACGTAGAACTTGGTACGTACGTACATCAGTTCGAGTTGCCACATCACATTAGCACAGAGATGCAGTTGTCGATTCAAATCCCGTAGTGGTAGAGGTAGTAAGAGTATAAGCAGTAATCGGGAAGATTAGTGTTTGGAGATGTTACTTAAAGAGTATAATACAGTGAAATAAATTTGGGAAGAGAAAAAGAGAGACAAGGAGAAATAAGGAGATCAAAATTTGGGAGAACACAAAGAGAGTATGCACCTGCGCCATTGCAAACGATTTTGAGCCATGTCATTCAAGGTCTCTAACCATCGGTTGCTATCATCTCGCGGTCCCCAACCAGGTAGTCTACATCTACCAACATGGCTCAGTCCACTTGTGAGTGACTTCATGGACTTGTGCCATGTTTTGGTCTGACCAACCCTAGCTTTCTTCCAACCTACTCCTATGTACATAGATTTATATATCATTTTATACTACATTTTAATTTAACTTCCTCCTATTGCCGGATCTTTTCTTTCAAGATTACTGGTTCTGTGTAATTTTGGATTCCAACAGAATCCATGTATAAAAATTTATCCACTCTTTTATATGTATATTTGTTGAAGAGAGATTCGTTTACACGTTGGTATCTTCGTTTCTAAAACCTCAAAATATTGTTAAACTTGTTGCATTGTTACTAGGTTCCATAGCGTATAGTCACAGACCAGTATATTTATATATAAATATTCCTGCCAGATTTTCGCGCTTATACTAAGTAATTGACATTACACTTAGGTGCATAGTTTAAGTTGAGACGAAGCACTAATAACAGTGACTAATTTTCCCAACCGTAGTTGCTACCTTGACTCGTAATGACTCAATCGAGCTATATGAACTGAAATACCTGTCTTGTAGGCTATACCACCCCCATCTTGGTTGGTTTGAGAGTAGCAATAACAAAAGCAGCAAACTTATGGTTCAATTAGTCATTAAGGAATTTTACATGAAAATTATAAGGGTCAATTATATGTGGTCTTTTGTTCATCTAATTCCTAATTATTAAAATTTGGATTTGATTTTTAATTCTCACACAAAAATACTTCAGAAATTTGTTATAAGTTACTAAAATGTATGTTTTCGTTTGCTTAATATTACTCTAAAGATTCAGAATTTGACAACGCTAACTTCAAACTCTTGAAAATGTCACACGCAAATAATATTTGTCCTACACCCAATAAATTAATGGTAAATGTACAAGGCAATATTAATTTGATTTGAAAAGTATATTTAATTACCGTGTAAAAAGACAGATAAAAAGTAGACCTATAAAGCTGAATAGTTAAAGAATGGAAAGAATGTCTCATATGAACAGTAGAGTACTGCGAAAAAAATACTTATTACTAACAACATCGTTTCTTTTCATACTACTCCTCCCTTCATAACGTTAAGTTGCAGAATACCGATTTAGATTGTCAGAGTTAAATTCTACATTAATTGCCTACATTCGTTTGGTCTAGAAAGTTGCTTTCTCCCTTCCTCAGTAATATTTGTAAAATGAGACGCGGCCGAACCAAAACATGATTATATCAGTCCATGAAATCATTGATTGAGTCATGTTGGTAAATCCAGACTGCCTGGTTGAGGTCCACTCAATTACTTCAATCAGTGGTTGAAGACGTTGGATGATTATATGATCCATTATTTCGATTCCTTTATTGTTTATCTTGTTGATTTCATCCCGTCGTGCTAGTGTAGTATTGTAATGTGTGCTATGACACATTTGTACCTACTTCCACCTGTTACCTCTCATGGAGAATAGGTCTTTGACCAGGATTCTCCAACCAACTCTGTCTTGGGCTTTCCTTCCCAGTTGTTTCCAATTACTACTGCCACATTTGTGCCAGACTCTATATTGATAATGAATGACTGGCTTAGAAAAGATTGTTGGTGATATACTGGAAAACATTTTGACTTCCGCTTCGTCAAATTTTCTGAACGGAATCATTTGCATGTATCAGATTGAACTATTTATTTTAAGGCATAATTTATCTTTAAAGCATTAACGATTAATCACTTGTATTGGATTTGTTTACTTTCCCCCTCTTCTTCAACTTTCTTTTTAAGGATAAGTCACATCCCGGTATGTATATTCGACGACCTGTTCTGTGTATTCAATTAGAACTATGTCAGTATAACTTAGCAGATTGGCTACAGCATAGAAATAACTTGCTCTCTATTAATACTCCTGTCCCCAATAATCAATTGAATATCTCACCGCTTTTATATCAATCAGTTCAACGTGCTCCTGTTCGTTGGTTAATGGATCAAATAATTTCAGGTGTTGCGTATTTACATTCTGAAAATGTAATTCATCGTGATCTTAAGGTAAGTTTGTAGCTTCTATAACTTTCCTAGCTGATTTAATCCTTGACATGATAATATATGAAAGAAGTTTGCTTAAATGTTTACTAGCCTCTAGCTAAAAAGCTTTTAATATACCATGCAGTCGAATAATAGTACTCTAAAGAATCAGGAGGGACTAGTGATACAACAGTTAGTTTTACAGTTTTCATTCAATAACTTTGAACTCATCAGAATAGGGATTTTGTAGAGATTGTTGGACGTTGTTGAGGTCACGAACCGATCTAAACTAGACAACCATAATAAATCAAGAGATTATTGGACAGCTTTTCCATTCTATCATGACACTTGTTAACAGTGTGAATCAACGATCTTACCGGAAACTAAACCTAAGACACTTAAGTCTCGTGGTAACTGTTTAACCTTTAAACCATTGGGTTAACATTCAATTGTTGACATTTCTAACTTAAATTACTTCATTATTCCTCTTTTTTGTTACCTTCTCTATTCAATTGCATACTCTCCGGGTGTTGTTCTTTTGTTCCTCATGACTAGTTTATTCTATACATAACTACCAATCATTTATCCAAATCTACTTTCTGATTGATTAATTTCACTTTTCTTTTTTCCAGCCTGAAAATGTACTAATATGTGGACCTCCATTGCATTCAATCACTAATATCCCATGTACATGTATTGTTGATCGACGATTATCACATAAATATTTAGACAACGAAAGAGAAAACTCAATCAATTTGTCTTCATCTTCCCTTTTACTAACAAATAATAATGATTATAATTATAATGACAGTAGTTGTATGCATTCACTTTCAAAAGCATCAAATTGTTATCATCAATTAGTTGTGAAAATATGTGACTTTGGATTGGCTAGAATATTGTTAGATTATTCATCATTTAATTTGATGAATTCATACTCTGATTCACCAATAAAACATACATCAGGTATAAATTTTCTTCCTCTTTTTTTTACAGTCTTGTATTTTTCTCATTAGTTGTTAAGTGTTTAAATTATTTATCATATGGACTCAGTAGCACATTAGTGGATAATGCGCTAAACTTTTGGAGAAAAGGGTACAGGGTTAGAGTTCTGGTGTGAAAATGAAACAAACATCTGGCACTTAAATCGTATATGTAGATTTCATCTAGGCGGTTTACACGTGAGCTCCCGAATCTTGAAGGAACGAATAGCGTATGAACCTATTTCGGTCACCGGCTACCATGAGACTGAATATCCTGACGTTTCTTCATTGCCTTGTGAATTAAACCTCCAGGTCAGAGGCTCAAGAAATGGCCCCTTAAAAAATATGTAGAAAACGTTCTCCTCATCATAGGTACAAACGATATTTACAGTTAATTTGTAACGGCTGTTATATTTGTAAAAACTTGACTTGAAGCAGGTGGCAACTAATATTTTCATGACATAGGTTTAAAGAAAAGAATCGATATCAGACAGATTTCATTCACCCTCCTAAAACACAGCAAACACTTATTAACTAAATACACTCATTTGTATAGAGCTTTTCTTGGCACATGATATTTAGTCAACAAATGTCATACATTACTGAAGTGATAGGAATACAATTTGGATTTCACACTGGCATCAAGCTATCGAATGTTTTGCTGATTAAATGTCACACCAAACTATTACAAACAAATACTAAATAAATATTACACTGAATTTAAATATTTCGCGTTTTATCCTGATCTAATACCCTCACCTTTTTTAGCAAGATACCTATAAGTAGGCCCTCCGTTTAAGGTTTCTGGTTTCATCTGTTATTCGTTTTCATTCTAACTGCAAAATATGTAACAGATAATCACAACTAAATTTCACTTGAATATAAACAACTATAGGACACCGGTGAATCTCCTTCCCCAAGAAGTGTCATATATGTCAAGTCCTTAGTGCCGGTTACTCGCGACCCAAATAGTTTAGTAGTAACGTCCCTAACTGTGAAACTATATGACGCGAGTTCAAATCTATCGGGAAGCATCATTCTCCCCCCTCAAGATTCCTAGTACACCTAAATGACAGGGTTTCCTTTTGACTGCCGCCGATCGTCACCTCAAACTTTGAAGTGTAGTTGTGTTCGCCTTATTTCAGTAGCAGACGCAACAAATATCCGTAGTTCTTGTTAAAAAGAAACACAATCGACAAATTTAAAAAATAATTTTGTCGATCCTAATATATATATATATATATATATCTTTCAATGGTTTAGATCATGAGTCAGTTAAAGCTAGACCACCATGGAAAATCTGGAAGCACTGGACGGCCGTTTCGTCCTATTGTGGGACTCCTCAGCAGTGCGCACCCACGACCTCGCCCCCTGCGAGATTCGAACCCAGGACCTACTGGTTTCGCGCGCGAGCACTTAGTCGGCTCAGTGGTCTAGTGGTTAAGTGCTCGGGCGCGAAACCAGTAGGTCCTGGGTTCGAATCTCGCAGGGGGCGAGGTCGTGGATGCGCACTGCTGAGGAGTCCCACAATAGGACGAAACGGCCGTCCAGTGCTTCCAGATTTTCCATGGTGGTCTAGCTTCAACTGACTCATGATCTTAACCATTGAACTTACTATAACATCCACAAAACCCATCTGATATATATATATATATATATATATATATATATGTTTAGTGGTGCACATCAAAGTTTATGTCATCAAAATAAAGTATGCTTTACACATTATAAGAACGATCTCATTCTTATCTTTCTTGTTAACTTGTAAACGAGAAGAAAGAACAGAAAAAAATCAATAATTTGATGATATTAGTATGTGGAATATTTAGAACAAACACCATTCATTCTGCATAGAATGAAAGCAAAAGATCATTATCACACTGATGCTTAGCTTTAAGGTATAGACTTGGGTTTTATACTTCGTATTATTACCATCTGTACTGTATTTTAAAGAGCTCTTGTGAACTTTTGTCGTTGTTTAATTAACTATTCAAAAGCTCGTTTTAATCTGATCTCGTTTTTATTTTATTTAACAGTAGTTTTACAATAACTCTAAAATTATCAGAACTATGTTATATATATTAGCGCAATACGTTTCAAATAATTTGATCACACATATACTTGTTAAGAACATTGATATATAAAAATAGAAAGTCAATTCGACAAATGGAGGGTAAGAATAGGAGTTCTCAATACATTAACGTCTTATTCAATTTAATAATAATACAACTAATAATTATAAATCTCACTGCATTTTCATAATCTGGATACTTTGGTTGGAGTGTGTGTGTATTCTGAAACTGAGAAAATAGGAAGTTTTATTTTAGTGCTCCAGTTCATTTACATATGATCGTTGTAGCATTTTACAGCATCAATCTCTTTTACGATTTTTCGCATTAGAATACACTAAATTTTTATAAACAATTCATCTTATTATCACCAGACATTTAATGTTTTATATTTGATGATTAGAAGTAGTCGAAAGCATCCCTTTCAACTCTTACTTTGTTGCTAGCTAGCAGTTGGCAACAAGATGTACCTGCAGTATTGAGTGAAAACTAATGCTCCATGTGACATTTGAATCCAAATCAACTAGCTTCATGATGTGAGACGTTACCTCGAAACTACTCGGGTTGCGACTGACTTCCAGTAGGATTGATATATTTTCATATGATTGGTCAGTGAGTAGTGACCAATGTCATGTTTGCCTAATCTTCTTAGTGCTAATTAAATTCTATCGATAAAATTTATTTTGCACAGTAATATGCTAATTTTTACTTTCCAATTTTTCAGACACTTTCCAATCATTTAACAAAAACACACATGTACAAAATCCAAATGATACCAACATATCGAGATTTGCATGTCATTTAAATTCATTATCTTTATCACAGTCAAATCAACCTTCATTTTTTAATGGAACTAGTTCATTTCCTAATGATGATGATAATAATAATAATGATGAAGATGAAGATAACGATGATGAGTATCCATCGTTATCGATATTGTCAACATCATCTAGTCGAAGTACCGATTCGGATAGTTTAATTCAATTTAAAAATAGTTTACGATATTCTTCAGAGTAAGTGTTTTTGTTTGTAAAAAAGAAAACAAAAGAAGCATTTTATTCATTTTGTTAAATATTATTTACTGAAGGTAGATCCAGTGTCATACAAAGTCTTACTTTGTTTTCGAAATGGTTACTTTCGCATAAATTTGATTGGATTTACGCAAATGTATACAAAACACTTTAAATAGATCAAGATCATCTTTTATCCTAAAAAAGAATAAAATAAATGAGCTTGGACACGGATCAATTGGTGTTTCTGAACTCCTGGATCTATTCACACTTAGAACAGATTTGTTGTAGGTCTGTTGTGTTGGATAATCAATCTTTCAATTCTGCTACTGATATAAAAGCTTCATATGTGCAAGCCCAGTCTGTTATTTCAGCAAAAAAAATACTGAGTAGAAAGCTTTTGACTAATCTAAATCAAAATATATCCACAAATTTATTAGTCTAATTATATGAAACTCAGAAAATTAAGCCAACCTTTCAACTAGTAATTTATATCGAAAGTTAAGCCAAATCTTGACAATTAGAGTACCCTCTTCATTACCCCTCATTTTTCATTTGGCCTTCAAATGACATGTCTGTTTGGCCCAGCGCATCAAAGTCATGTAGCTATATCAGTTCTTAAGTTACTAATTCATTTAAAGTTGTGCATAATTGTTTTATTATACTTTCTTTGGTTCGAAGGAGATACGCGTATGTGTATGTGGCAGATATCCCTCGTATAGTTAGTTCAGTAGTAACCTCTCTGACGGTAACGTAGACTGTATGGAGAGCATCAGTCAATACCCTCAAAATTATGCACACTGTCCTGCTGATGATGAGTACCAATTAATTTGAAACATAGTTTCAAAACTTTTTTATCTATTTACTTCTTGCAGCTAATTAGGATTAAAAGTGCTTACTACATTATCACAGATTAATCTTTTGATTCAAATTTGTCAAAGTGTAATTTATATCCATATATTTCAGTGTTTTTTCATTGCAATGAACAAATACTTATAATATTTAACTTAATTCTATACAGATACACACTAAATCCGATAATTTGCTCAGTGGTTAACTTTTTAATAACAATGATTACTAATTATCATGCTATCGTTAGTTCGAATGTAGTAACAATCACGAATGCTTTGTTTCTCAACTATGTTATGTCTTCATGTATCAGCCACAAAACAATTGTATACACCAAGGTATATTAATTATCAAATGTTTCAGTAATATTTAATAGATAGATCCTGAAAACTTATCATTAGAGTTAATAAGTAATTCCTTTAGAAAAATCACTGTCTTTTGAATGTCAACTTTAATCTATGTATACAATTTAGCTATCAACATTTCATGGCGTAAATTAGATCGGATAAGTTATGTTTTGTGAAGTTTTTCATTCATATGCGAAATTTTCGCCTATGAGTTTGTAGGTAACAAGGCTAAGGTTGAATTTGATAGTTTTTTTTAAAAACATTGAGCATTGGGTAGGAAGTCAATAATAAATATCTTTTTGTTATATCCCAATGATCAAAAAACTATATTTATTACGTTTCGTGACTTAATGTAAGACACCTTCTTCGGAGTAAATAAATACCATTTTTCTACTCATTGAGATATACCAAAAAAATATATTCATTATCAAACTTTTACTGTTCTTATAATTATTATTACAGGTATTTTACCAAGTTATCTCTTTAGTTGTTAACTAAATGCATAATTTCCAAACGAATTTCCTTTTTTTTCAACATTTTTAGTAATTTATCAGAAACTGATGAATCGATAATGAACTCTCTACAACCCAATCAAAATATAAGACAGAATACAATGAAATCTAATCAAGAATTCACTATGGTGAATTCATCTAGTAATAATAATAATAATCTATGCGAAACAAGTGATAACTCTGACGAAAAACATTTATTGTTGTCAAAACATAAACCTGTAACGACAACTAAAACACATCAGACTTTGTTTTATTTAACGGCCGATTTAGGCAGTTCGATTTATACTGCACCAGAGGTTCAAAATTCTTGTAAAAATAAATCAAATCAACGAACATTGTATAATTATAAGGTTTGTTAAACATATTGTGGAGATTGTTAAATTTCATTCAGATCATGAACCGACCTAAGTTGGACCACCATTAAAAATCTGAAAACAAATCATACACACGTGTCGCGTGTGAGGTAGTTACTCATCGAAGACAATGAAAGATGATCGTTGCGAAATGTTCTAGATTGGTTAGGCTAGACGTTTATACAACTGAATGCCAGCTCGGAGGTCTAGGGGTTCGGTGTTTGCTCGAGACCACAGGTCCTGGATCCGATTCCTGCCTGCGGGGTCGCAGATGCGTACTACTGAGGAGTCTCATACTAAGAAAAAACGGCCGTCAGAGCCCCAGGTTTTCAATGATAGCCTAACTTAGATTGGTTCATGGTTTCAATTAAATATATATATAATACTTTTTAAATCTGATATTCTATGAAATCAAATTATTGAGTGTCATTGGAACTAAATAGTAACTGAAGTACATATTATAATGGTTGCATATATTATTACTTGTTGTTTAGTGATAAACGCCTGTGCTTGATTGTATAAACTAATATTATTCATTTCCTAAGTACGGATCTATGTCCTCAGCTTTGAACTGCACAAAATGTTTGTATGTGAGATCTCATTATTATGTTACTCAGTGAAGTAAGTTTCATATCTGAAAATTATTGGTCGAAAATCAAATGCTTTTACTACTGAAACCACCGACCCCTACCCGACTATATGAACCTGTAACATATTGGTTTTATAAAATAAATGAATTATGACTATTAGTGAAACTGAAAATATTTTTCGTCTTATTTGAGGTTCGTCAACGATATGTACATACAATTCAGTATTTTGATGCTCACAGCGACATTTGAGCCTAGTACCTTTCCTTTTAAATAAATGTCAACACACATTATTCACTCAGATAGGGAGTCCAGTGTTGGGATATTCAGGAAAATATCCCAAAAATTATTCTATTAAGTCTAATGCTATTCTTGGACTTGGAGATGGTATTATTCTCTTATTGGTCAGTGCATATTTCACGTGTCATTTCCCTACTGGTCAATATTGTACAATGTTATTTTCCATTTTATGGTACGATGTGGTCTGCTTGATTAGTATATAAACAGAGCGTGTTTGAAATATAATGATTCATATATCCGAGGCTGAGACTTGCGTTCTTGACTTAACTGGCTGGGCTAGACAGGGAAGCGGGGCCAATCAGAACCCTAGGTCGTTCTACGTGTTTGCGCGTCTTTGGTCCGATCAATAATTCCCTACCTTCTAATCTGCTGCCGTCACAGTTATAACACTAGATAGCTACTAACATGTATTATTTCATTATCATTATTAGTAAAAGTATGAATTATCCTGTTGTGATATACTGAACTTGTGATGTGTCATTTTCCGTCAACACATATATTTCAAGTGTTATTTAATTGTATTTAAATCTGTTTATTAGGTTATAAACATTATTATCTCTTTGTTCATTATTCTTATTCATTTAATTAAAATAGGCTGATATTTATAGTTTAGGTGTAATATTCTTTGAAATGTTACATCCATGCTTCACAAGATCCGAATTAATAACCTATTTAGAACAATTTATCAATGCATCATCATTAACTAATTGTCATAATATAAAAAATCAAAAAATCTCAAATGGTGGTACCAACCAGTGTAACATTAATGTTCATACTATACATGGAATTATGGATTATTTGTTAGATATATTTCCTCGTTCAATGCAGTCAACTTGGCCTTATGAAGTGAGTCTTATGTAATGTGTTTTTTCTCCTATTTCGTTGTCGATTTGTTTGTTTTTAATGTTAGTTCTTCACTATGGGATGATGAATAAAACCGAATAATTGATAGCTGATAACAGAATATCATAAATTAGATAAGCAGTTCACTAATTATTCAATCTCCACTATTATTTCCCACTGTGGATTACCTTTCCTCTATCATTCAACTTTGGCATTAACAGAATTCCCAATTGCCTATATTGTTCTGTAATATGTAATCCGTAAATTTATGGCGTCACAGTTGATGATGATAAATATACAACGTTGCTTATGAACGTGACCAGAAGAATGCAAAAAGTTGTAAGATATCCTTGGTTTGAAAAGACCAGGGTTTTTAATCTTAAAGAAGTATTACACAACGAACAAAATGAACCAGATTACCATAAGCCAATCTGACGTTTTGCACGCGTACATTGATCTTATCTGTTACATTAATGCCCAAGACTCATACTAATATCTGCATACATAAACTTTTCAATGGCTTACGTCAAACGGTAAGAACAGCCATAGGCTCTTCCCATTTGTACAGAAAGTCTTTTGGTTTCATTGGTATATCGTTTATGCTATACCTGTGCACGTTGATCATCCACTGTTTGCGAGAGATTTGATAAGCATATATGCTGTCCTTATCCCAGTAATCGATTTACACACTACCACTACGTACAATATAGGTATTGTGATTCATAGAAATCTAAAGAAATTTAATCTTAGGCATCTTATAGTTTTTTGTGGATAACGATAAGTTAATAGTTTTTTTAGGTAAATTTGTGAAATTAGTTGGACAAAAAATAACTTAGAATCAGTCCAAATAGCACAGATGTATTTACTCTTAAATTCTAGTATTCCTTGATAAACACTGTTTTATTCTGTCTTGTCGAATCGTATTCCCATTGTTTAGTCTTTCTCATTATCATTGATACTCTTTTACCATTCATATTGTTGTGTTGATATGGTATGACAACTTGGACCAATGCATATTTGTTGAAGGGTCTACATTGATTATTAATAAATAATCAAAATGACAAATGTACTTGAATATGTCAATACGACCTATTACAATGTATTATTATTGTCGTCTTTCCGTACAGTGATAATATTCTTACAAATTACTGTTTCTTCTAGTATATATATATCACCTTTCATGTATTTCTCTTTGATCCTTAAATCTACAATATCAGAGTCAATTAGTTGCTAGAATGTTAAATCTTCATGTTCAATATCGTCCTAATGCAATGGAAGTTTTAGAAATATTGTCAGTCAACTCAGAGGTTAGTGGTGTGTTTGAAAATTGTGAATAATTATTCAGAATACTAATATGTAATATTTAATGACACATTATAAACAGAAAAAGAAATATAAATTGTGTGAGAGTTAACCTAATCAATAGCCTGCATTCTTAACATGTCTCTAATTTGAAAAGTTGTACACTTTTTCGGTTTTTTTAAACCCTTTTTTCCTTTTTTTGTCTTTGTTTCTGTTTTTTGCGTAAGAAACTTGTTGAAATACCCTATGATGAGAATTCTATATTGTACCGAAATATAATATTGAATGAAGCCATTAATAATAATAATAATAATCAGTCATTGGGTCTGGACTTCTTAGTTTAAAGCTTATGCGCTCGCCGCTTGACCTGAAGGCCCCAGGTTTGATCCCTGGGGGGGTTGTGGGTGTGTGTTGCTGAGGAATCGGAAAACAGCTCTATAGTACCTCCTAACTAAGGTCACTGCGCAATGTAAGTTACAAAATTCAACAATGTCCACAAGCCTTCGTACTAAGAATAACACACCTTTCCAATAAAGCTGATTCTTTTTTGTATATTTCTCGTCTTCTTCATTGTCTGCACATAAGTTTATTTCAATATCCATTCGGCAGTCTATAAAATGATATATTTGTCTTGTTATATTTCACATCAAACGTACAAATTACAAACCATCTTTATATATAAAGATGAGATTTTTTCAGGTTTATTATTTAACAGAGGATTTTATCTTAAAAATTTTAGTTAAAAAATCATACTGTCTGTTGGCAGCATTCTTCACAGTTTGAAATAACCTGAGGTCCCATTAAGAACTGATGAGTACTTGGCAGCTGTTCCGTCCTACTCCACAGTAACGTGCACCTATGACCTGACTAGTGACTTAGCTATAGGAACGTTCCTTAGGTTTTATTGAGAATTATTGAACGATGGAGTCTAGGCATGTCAGAGCGAAACAATTGTCAAAAAGGGCGTAGAGAGACCATTGCACTGTCTCATTAACTGATTGACGTAGGAAATTTGTAACACTAGGTGTAATTCAGTGGCGTCTTACGCTTAGGTGTTCGCTGCAAGACCTTTAGTGGTTTTATACTAGGACGAAACAGATGTTCAGTGTTCCTAGTTTCTACAAGTTATCCCATTGGACATCAATATGTGGTGAATACCACTTGCAAATTAAATCACGTTATCATAAGATGACTGTGTCAATCAATATTTTATGCTTACTGTTGAGCTTTAGTTTAAACATTATTAAAACTCCACTGAGATTATATTACCTGGATGATGAACTAAGCTATCATTAGACAAACAAACTAATAGAAACATTTTGTGACTTGATACAGTTTGCGTATCGATTCAAAACGCCTCATTTCACATCAACATACAGAAATAAAACCGAAAAGAGGGGCAAAAATCTTCACTTCAAAACAGAACACTTAAACCAGTCAAAGGAATGCAAAAATATAGGGGAAAAGTCTAGCAAGAATGCATCAGTGCTCCTGTGACTGATCTCCATCTGGGTTATGTAAAATTCACAACCATGACAGATCCCAACCTTACTGTATGGTCCCCAATGTCGAGTGATTTCATGATTGGACAAGATGTCGTAGTTTGATATCTCTTGATGTCTTTAGCTCACTTTTAGGTTATCTAACATAACACCTAAATGATTGACTTTCCAGATGGTATAACACATTTCTCAACAGCTTAGTTAGCTGGTTTTTCGTAAATTGTTAAATTGATTCCAAACATTTTAAATGAGTAGAATGAAACGTTATGATATGTTTTTGCTGAAATCTTTTTTCTGCTACTCTCTAATCTTTCTTTATCCACCCCAACCACATGTGTTTTATACATCAAATGAATAACATAACTCACTCAATAGAGATTTATGCACCCAACTTTCAGCTACACTGTTTGTGTTAAACTATGTGATGCTACCCTATTGTACAAATTGAATCTGGACTTGTACTCCGTTGGTTGAAAACCGAAAACTTTAACCATCAAGTCATCGCTCTTTTTATCAACCTAGATATTGAAATCATTTGATAATCTAAACTGCTAATACTCACAGTCAATTTTCTGTAGTATTAAGGTTTTATAACAAAATTTATGGTTTTTACAGGTAAGACTGATTCAATTTAACTACATTTTACATTAATTATTATATTTTACTATTTCTCATTTTTTCAATTTCATTCGTTTACTTTACTAGTTCCCAGATCTCGTGGAAAATCACATCACTGTAGATGCATCTAATTCATCCCTAGATATTGTTTCCAAGAATTTGATAATAGAATCAACAATACACGAAGACAAGAAAATATACTATCCACTGAAAGGTAACTTCTCAAATTATCAATTAATTGATTATCTGATATGGCGTAATCGAGAACTGGAACAAAAACTGCATGAAGCACAAGAACGTCTTTCTGTGTATGAAAAAGCAGATAAAGTAGAAAATGTATAGTGATGAATTTTCTGCATGTTTAGTTTTCATCACTAGATAAAATGAGCCATCTCTATGATCATCTAACTTTCTTCATGATAGTTCCATGTATATAACATAGAAATAGATGTCTATTTATTTTGAATTTTTTTTCTTTTAACTAAATGAATCTTATGAATAACACTTATCAAAGTTGTACATAGTCGTATTTTGTCAAGTAGTCTCTTTGAGACGGAAATTTTCCTCATTGTGTTACCTTCGTTATTTCTTTTCCGGCAATCATAAAATCTAGATGAATGTTCTAAACTGTTTTACTCGTGATTATTATGGGGTCGCAAGGTCATATTTTCATGCTTGACACTTATTAGTAGGAATTAATTACATCCATTGAAGATAGTTATTCTTCCTGATATTTGGACCTAACTAAACAGTGACACAGGTATTACCTCTGATTTCATCATGATATCACGTTACATACATGGTTAGAAGTACTCAATTAACACTGGTTGTTCTCTGGAAACCAATTACTGAACGGATCCAATCATAATTACAATATGTTACTGTCTAATCGGGTTGGTCTATGAATATTACATTAATTAATTTCAGAATCAGTTCTACAAACAAAACAAGCATTTACTAACTTTGGTTGTAACAAGACACTGTATGTTTGGATGATTTTTTCTAACGAAAATTGGAACCCAATTAGTCATATCTTTGCATTGCAGAAGAGCTCCATACTGAGATGAAACAGTTAGACCGGACCGTGACACTAAACTATAAAATCAAGTTATTGACTCCATGTCAATAATAACTATTCACTAATATAAGTAGAATTCAGGAAATTGTAATGTCTAGTCCTATGTCACACCCACGTGGGTTATTCCAGCTTTCGGACAGACCAACTACTTTATTCTTCCTTAGTCACATTTCGACCTTGTGACTTCCCGGTTTATAGCCTTGGCCGTTTTTATTTGAGCTCATGCGTTTGTACTGCTTACCCTGCTCATCACATATCTTAAGCCTATTTTTGTCTACCTATTAATCGTGAGTCACGCTTTATCGAAAGTTTTTCGTTTTCGCGCCCTTCATCTTAATATCTGTGTGATTAGACGAATGCATGGAATAAACTCACCCAACTTAAACCGTATATGGCTTCTTAGTACCCCGTCTCCCACACGAGGTTAGCCTATGTATCATATATGGAAGAATTATAATCAGGTTTATTCGTTCGCCAAAAATGTAGTCAGACCGCGAGCTAATAAATTAACGGACTATCAAAAACAGGTTTATTATTATTGGGTGCAATAGAGAAGATATGAAATGTCTGAGGAAATGTAGCTAGGTTGACAGACACCCCACATGGACACCCATGAAATAAGGACTTCTGGAAAACACCCCTGAATATCAGGCTTTATTTTCCACTTCTTCGTACATTTGAGAAAAAAGGTTTTCTATAGATTTTAGTGGCCGAATGCTTTAAAATATCTGACACGAATGTTGTAATCAGAAAGTAATCAAATTGGAAGGGAAGTCAGTCATGTCTAATATCCATAGTCGTAACCAATCATCGGATTCCTGATTACTGTGAAGACACATAATCCATCTTCATATCCACACTTAACGCAACTACTCAACTTTTAATACAACCTCATGTGAATTCTCACATTTTATACTTTATTACAACTAATGGTCCAACTGTACCTTGAGTCTATTATAGCAGAAAAACCAACATATTCACCAATAACCAGATTGTGGGTATTCTATACAAGTATTACGTAAACAAACATGATTGAGAAGAACAAATCTACGTGATCTTTAGTCATAGTTGAATACTGTAGTGTCATGTGTTAACAACTGGGATATGTTTTTCGCACTTCTCATGACAAGAGTTGGCGAAACTGCTGATACAAGCAAGATTAGATAAGTATTTCTAAAACTACACACCCATAATCTTAAGTCCTGATTTGTAATTTATGTAGGGATCGACATATTGTGTTATCCTTCTGCGTTTAAAACAACTGGACGAACCTTGGGAAGTATCCACCGGTCAGTAAAAAGCTATTGAGAGTTTCATCCCAAGCAACTGGGCCCTAGTTTCCCAGTTGTATTTGCTTCCAATGAACATCTAACGTTTGATCCAGCAACTGTTTAAGCTTTGTTAGTTGTTTGCGAACTTCCTATAAAACCTTTCTCCGTAGTCCCCCATCCAGATATATGACTCAGTAACATCCAGAGATAATTAACTGATATGGAAAAGACTTAATTGCTCACCTATCGAAGTCTTATTCCTTTGTTGGTGCTTGCTAGTTAATCTTAATTCAAAAGCACAAACAAGACCCTCGACATACGCTATTACTACGAGTACATAGCAAGTGCATTACAACTTACCGGTCACATCAACAGACCAACCCATTTAAGACTACTTATTTGATATCTACTAACTATCATAGAACCCACTGAACATCATATCATTTTTACGTGACCTGGAGAAGTACCGAAATCAATGCTGCTTCCCACCACAACAGACATCCTAGTCAGGTTGTCGTCAATGGCATGCATCTAGCTTTCCAAACAAACAACACTTGAAATTTCGATCAGCATAAGAGCCACAAAACCTTCAGAAGCTCGACAAGTGTTTAATATCAACATCGTCGTACAAACCGTTTGGAAAAATGCGACTACTCAACCCTTTATTTATTCTTTTTTAAGACCAAAAAATGGATTATGATCATGCAAGTTTTGAAATGATCACATGAACAGAGAAAGGTAACGCGTAAACCTATCCCTGAGTTTTAGTGAAGACTAGTTGTCACAGCATAGTCCTAATTATTCGAATTCCTCAATCTTTATAATCACATCTTAACTACTCGATTAGTTTTAACGAGTAGTATGCATCTAATCTCGATATTGTTTATGTGAACTTAGTAAGAAATTGTAAGGTCCATGGTATTTACAATCCCATATATCTGTCCCGTGGCCGTGTTTTGGAACTGTGTAAGAACATGCAACCATTGCAAACCATATAGGCCGTTATGAATTCACGTAATTTTACTGTTATTTAACTACAATTAGTACCGATCCCTGACAGATAACATAAGTAATGAGTTGTCATGGAGAACCATTACATCATAGTAATTCCTTCTACGAGACTGTATGAACGACGTTATACGACAGCTAAGTTTAATTCAAAACGTTAAGATCCCTAAGACTGGCCGACTATTTAAGTTATGTACACCAACACAACTCGTTTGCAGCATTTCGTGTGCAATACGTACCTACTTCTAACATCGTTAAGACATATCTAAAGCTAATTAACTTTCAACACGAATCGAAAATTTTGCCTTACTTAACTGGTCGGTGAAGAAATCTTAGTGTCTGAGAATTGACAATATTCAGGAAATATTACTAGAAATGAGTGCTTGGTACATTTAGGACAGGGATAACTATTTAGCATTCAGTTATATCCAACGTTCGTTACATGGAAACGACTGTCGTCACTTGCCAGCTCAATAAATTTGCAAAATTAATCCCGATTCACACTAACAAACAATTACCAGACTTTAAAACAAAACAACTATGTGTACCAACTAATTATTTATGAGCAATCGTTTAAAAGGTAACCATTTGACCTTTCTTCTTCTTATCTCCACCAAGTTCAAAGTGTTTGCACCTCTTGATTCGCAGTTGCTTCTTACATTTGCACTGAGAGCACTCTAACCGCAGCACAATCTTTTTCGTAGTTTTAGATTTTCTCCTGAGAATTGGTTTTGTCTGACCGCCATAACCTAAAATCGGTATTAAATGAATTCATTTTCATACCTGACTGTTTCCTGTCGTACCGCCGCTTGCCCTGAGCATACAGAGAGTCTTTCCCTTTTTTGTATTGAGTTACCTTATGCAAAGTATGTTTTTTGCATTTGGCACTCTTACAAAACGTATTCCTCGTCTTGGGTATATTAACCATGTTCACCACACGCGACCTTGGCAAGTAAACCGCCCGTGTTTATTCAACCACAGTAAATGTTTAAACAATTACAGATTTCAGATTTGTGTAGTAAGGACAGAAGGCCTACGACCTATGTTATTTCTTTTCTAGTATGCTTCTGTGAGTGTCCAGCCTTCTCTTAAAAGAATCAAGTGAAGGTGCGGACAACACTGCTTCGTGCAACACGTTCCAAGTATTGATGACGCGGTGTAGAAACCTGTACGCCGCAATTATTTTGTTCGTTCTTGGCTTTTCTACACGCCTGCTATGTTCTCTGAGATGTCGCGATGTAGTGGGAAGGAAAAGAGAGAATAAGGTAGGTCCGAAATCATTTCTCATTATTCTGTACATCAAAATTAGATCTCCCCTTAGTCTGCGATAGGACAGAATAAAGAGGTCCAGTTTTTCAAGTTGCTCATTGTATGATAAACCCCGGAGTTCCGGAATTGCACGCGTAGCTTCCCTCTGTACCTCCTCTAGGATATCCAAGTCACCTTTTAAGCAGGGGCTTGCAGCCTGAACTCAGTTCTCAAGCTTAGTCCTCACTAAGGATGTGTATACTGTGGTGAACATGGTAGTATCAAGCTTAGTGAATGTCCTTTTTAAAGCCCAGAGGGTTCGAAGCCCCTTAACTGCGACCTCCCGGCAATGGGCCGTCGTCTTAAGATCATTGCTCACTGTCACCCCTAGGTCCTTATGAGACCGGACTACGGATAACGACACATCCCCTATGTTGTACGTATTAACCTCTGAATCCCCCAAGTGCATGTAGACACACTTTTCCGAGTTGATAGGCATTAGCCACTCTTTAGACCAGTTTATCATATTATTTAAGTCTGCCTGAAGAGTAAATGCGTCTTTGTCTCCAGTTATTACACGCCAAATTTTTACATCGTCAGCGTATAATAACATTGGAGACTGTACTATACTTGTAAGATCATTAACGTACATTATAAAAAGTAAAGGACCTAGGACGGAACCTTGTGGTACTCCACTAAGTACTGGTCTCCAGATGGAGCACTTCGAATTTATTCTTACTTTTTGCCTACGACCTACTAGGAAATCCTTAATCCATTTTAAAAGAGGTCCGGCAATACCAAGGTTTGCCAACTTCAATAGCAGTCTATTAGTTGGCACCTTGTCAAAAGCCTTACTGAAGTCTATGTAGACAACATCCACTGAGTTTCCGTTGTCTAGCGCATTAATCCAGAACTCTCTAGCTATAAGGAGGATCGTTGTACAGGATAGACCCTTTCTAAAACCATGTTGTGCCATGTTCAGCAAGTTATTGGTTTCCATAAATGCCGTTATGGTCCGTTT